ACTCGACTCGACTCGAGTCCCGACGGGTAAATGACTCGACTCGACTCGAGTCACTGCGAGCAAATGACTCGACTCGACTCGAGTCCCTCATCAGAATGACTCGACTCGACTCGAGGAATGCTAATAAGACTCGAGTCCCAAAAATAAGAGTAAAACTTACTTGCGAAAAATATTTGCAATGACTTACGCCGCGCCGTTTGCGTTGTCAGTTTGTGTTCACGTCACGTTATGTTCGCGAATAATGTACGTTCATATACAGCGGCCGTCTGTTTTCCTTCCTCCATAATAATACAACAGACATACACCGTGTCGCGGACTCCCACATTGTGGTTCTATAGCATTTAATGCTAAACCCGGAACCAGACTTAAAACGCATTTCTCAATCCGTGGTTTCATCATTGGTTTCGGGCGATTTCTTATAAAGCTCTTGGTGGAACGTTGGCTACATTTATGTCCCGATTTCACACAAAAAATGGATACGGACGGGACCACCTTTTAATAATCAGAAACAGTTTTGTATAATGTAATTAGGTTTTGACGTTGTCAGCGATCAGCGAACAACAAAATCTAGACCCGAAGCCAAACCAGTTATAAGACCGAAGTTTCACATCTTCTTATCTGTGACGTGAGCTAGCAATAGAAACTGTTGGTTGGGTACCATAACAGCATACTTTATGTCTAATTTGGATTTTCGTAATAGACTGGTGCCTTGTATTCTTTCTCTCTTGTGTTTGTTGCTTTTTATTGTAATTTATTATATGGTGTACAAATATTTGTGACTCGAATTGACTCGAGCTAAATACTTGACTCGACTCGACTCGACTCGACCACACACTGTGACTCGACTCGACTCGACTCGACCTTGTTGACCTAATGACTCGACTCGACTCGAGTCACTCCTTTAAAATGACTCGACTCGACTCGAGTCACAAAAAACAGTGACTCGTTACAACTCTGGAACTTAGGAACACTTTGGGAAAACCCAGGGACCAATTCCATAGCGCTGCTTAACAGCCGATGTTGTGCTTACCGAACCTACATCTATTTCTTAGAGAAAAAGCAGTAAGCACAGCGAAAGCACGCTTAACCACAAAGGAAAAAGTTGCTTGAGTCAGTGACTTAACAATATATGCGTGCGCAGCCGTTAGCACGTCCACGCCGTGAAATAGTGCTCAGCATGATTTCCTGCTAGTAAGCAAAAGTTTGTTGCTTACTGTTGATAACCATGATAACATGGGTGGGGTGGAGACAAAACAGCGGCGGAGCAATGATGACACTATAACTTCGCGGGGGAAGGGGTCCTCCAGAATCACATACAACTGAACTAAGTCAAAGTGTTGTACAAGACTAGAGTTTGAACAGACAATCGATAGGCCTATACATATTGATTTATTCGGTTGAGTACCGGGACGAATTCGAATAAATCTGCTTTATCATTGATATGTAAATGAGACACGGTAGAGTGGTTAAGGGCGGGAAATTTGAATATGGAGTGGCACAGGAATGTGTGCGTGGTTGGATTGAAGGTAGATCACTTCACGCTTGCGAGCAGCAACGACAACACACAATTTTTGTGGCGCTGTACTTCCATTGCGTTATATCAGCAAATGGGAGAGACGGCAGTTTTACTCTCCTTAAGTCAATTCGACATCTCATTTTAAGAAGCTACATTACATTCAAGGCTACTGACAACAGAGCTCGACGCTACATCGGTATCAATCAAGACAAGACAGTTGTCGATAGCAGACTAGGGACCGAAGATCGGAAAGCAGAAAGCCAGTTTAAGAAGCTAAGTTAAATTACAGTCTTTTTAATTTGCAAAAATGTAGTCGCAGATGTTGAAATTCACAGAAGATTTTTTGAGAACGGAGAGAATTCTGGTTCCGAACGAAGAGGGTTCTGGAGATTTACTTTCCCACCGTGAATTGTGGGGACTTTTACACTAGTTCTTTTGTTATAAGATGTAACCAGTCCCAGAAAATGGTCAATTTCAGAAAACCCTCACTATACTTGTTTAAGACGAAATATGGGCCCTAGATTGAATCGATGTTCTGCCATATACAATTTGTTGGAAACCCATAATAAAGCCGTTTATCATTAATCCTTGGTAAGTTTCAATTCATTGACAACAGGTGAATGTCGTTGGAAAAGGGAGTAGATAGCCCTGGCATCAATCAGTCAAATTTGGTGATACGCCCATATTTCTTTGATCCTTGACAACGTATTGATTCACGTTGACGTTTGATCTGAACTTGAATCTTAAATATCACCTTGTGAGCGTTTGACCAATCAGGTTTTCCTGGGTTTCACAGAATTTTTTTTTTTCCAATTTGCTCCAATTCCTATTATGTGTCTTTAAATTGCAAGCACAAATACCAAAATCAGGATGATTTGATTGTTTATGGTTTTGAAATGATAAATCATATTATAAAGGATGTGGTTATGTCTAGGTGGAGGGTTGGACATGGTACAGCTGAAAATACAAGTACTTAGCCTACAGAAAACAAATTTAACAAAAGGTGTTGATAACGCCTAGTCACAATGTACTTGTTATTGGTTGATCTTTAAGAGACTTTCATTGATATTCCTATTTTCAAAGACAAAGTTAAAAGTCTGTTTCTCTAAATTTAAGGGTGGAATGGCTTCAAAATTAATAATTTAAACCGAATGAATGTTTTGCATTTCTGCCATTTTCTTTCAGTATCTTAAATTTTAGTTAATTTGGGTAAATTTAACTTTTTGTTCAGTTGGCATAAATGTGTGTAGGTGTGGGGCATGCATATTTTGGAAAACACACACCTTGAAAAATGGCCCCACTATGGGGATTGGGTTTTGTTATTAATGCCCAGGGGTGGGGAAGATTTGTGACTTTTTTTTCTCAGACTCTTGACGCCTTCGATGGTAACCCAGGGGATTTGGTCACTCTGAAAGTGCCCCAGTGACATAAAGTTGTCTGGAAACCCTTTATTAAGCTGGACTTATCAAATTTTAGACACTTCAATGTGCGACTTGATTTCTTGGTGAAAGCATCAGGGCTTGAATGCCGGGAGAGAAAGTTAAAAGATGACTTTAAGGTAAAGTACTTTTCTTTTCCAACACATTTGTAACAATAATTAATCTAATAGGTTTTAATTATTGTGTTTAATTCTCGTTTCTCGTGATGCTAGTAATGTGATATCTCCAGGTCAATAGCTGTTCAATTTACCATTGCTGTATTGCATGTTTATCAATACCAACTTAGCTATGTGGGCCCATACATGATATAAGTGTTGACTAAAGACTGAAATGTAATTAATTTGCATAGAATAGATGCGGAGCCAAGAATAAAATTGTAAACACTTGAAGTCGCGTCATTGGATAAGGAAAGTCACCCACTGACTCGTCAACTTTGTACATCTTTGCATCACGGCAGACCAGAAACAAAACACTTCAGTGTGGACTTCAGAACAATTTGGGAAAACCCAGGGCTCAATTTCAGGGCGCTGCTTAACAGCCAATGTTGTGCTTACCAAGCCTATATCTATTTCATAGAGACCGTAAGCAGTATAGTAAGCACAGCCAAATCACGCTTAACCGCAAAGGAATATGTTGCTTAAATCAGTGACCTATAAATAATAGAAAATCCCATGTGCGCACAATCGTGAACACGTCCAAGCCGTGAAATAGCGCTAAGCACGATTTTCTGCTATAGTAAGGATTGATTTTTAAAAAAAAAATGAGGATGCATGTTTTGTTTACTTTCATGTCGTCTTCTTGCATACGGCAAAATGTCGAAAATGCTTGTGAATCATTAACTCGCAAATTTTCAGGCGACGCCATATAAGGAGATTGAACCAGAGATTAATTTGCATAATGTAGCTCCGTCAAGCGGTCATAAGATCGGTGGGCGTAGCAGCTGCAGCGCGTCAGTGTTGTCTTGGATGTCTGTGAATCAACCCGCTCTGAAACTAACTGTAAGTTTGGCTACAGCGATGGCTCATTTCTTCCTTTTCTTTCTGATTCATGGGTTATAGTTAAAGTCGAGTTACCTATTAAGAAGTTTTGCTGTTGCATATTTTGCCTATGTCACTTTTGTGACGGTCACTTGTCAGTTGTGACCATAGAGCTATATTTAAGTAACTTAATATAGCTCTATGGTTGTGACTTATTACACTGGTCTTGGGGCAGATTTGTGAGGCTCACTTTTAGTGTCACGTAGCATCTATGCCACACGTGCATTAGTCTGGCGCCATTTCCTTCACGTATTTTCATTATACATAAGTCAAGCTTCCATGCGAACGCATGGGCGTCGCCAGTATTTTTTCTAGAGGGGGCCAAAAAATGTTTTGCCAAAAAATGCTTGAAATTCTCAACACATTCTCGATTTATCAGTTTTAGAGGGGGGCAGGGACATTTTGCCCCCCCCCCCAACTCATTAAATTTACACCACTTTGTCTTCGCGCCTCTTTTTCTCTTTTCTTTTTTTTCTTCCTTTTTTTTTTTTTTTTTTTTTTGCTTTTCCAGGGGGGGGGCAAGTGCCCCCCCCTTGCCCCCCCCCCCTCTCGACGCCCATGTCCGAACGGCAAAAGTTGGAATTTTGACGAACTTTGTAGCTATTCTAAATCAATTAAATACAATTGTGTCCACTCTGGGACCAACTTTACAACGATCATTGTCTGGCTGCAGTGGCGGAACACTTTTGAAAGTCGGGGGCCAAAGCACCACCAATTTTGAAAGGGGGGAGGGAGGGGGTAAAGCACCGCCAGTGCCATCTGGCCGTTGCAAATTTAAAAAGCGGGGGGGGGGGGCTTAACCTCATTCATCAATAGGGGCGCCCTTTTCCAAGATTACGCTGTGGGACCTAACGAGAATGGGGGCCAAAGGGCCCCCGGTTCCACTGCCAGTGTTGTCTCGCCTTGTTTTAGTTTTCAGTGGACTTGAGTGAACAATGCATTAAGTCCAGAATAATTACTCACAGGTTTAATGTCACACGGCTTTTCACTGGTCTAATCATGCTACAGGATTTCCGTTTGTGGCTGGGTGATCCAAAGTACCATGGATGCACAATCTAAAGCAGCCCGCCAACAGACTAAGGTCCCTACCACGATAAAACAGGAGGCACAGGTACCCGCCTCTGCTGCTGCAGCAGGTGAGTAGTAGCTGGACCCCTTGGGGTCAATTTATGAGGGACGGGAGGGGCATACACTGCGCCTTCGAACCACCCACCCACCCATCTATACCTGACCCATTCAGGGGGGCCGCGATCCAGGATTTTTTTCGCGGAGGGGGGGGGGGGGGTTATCGGCGAAACAATTGAAATGTAGACAGGTTTTTTTTCAATGGGTGGTGGTGGGAGGGGGCTTTCGTACCATCCTTTCAATGGGGGCGCTGTTCAAATCCGTATCACAGAATAGGCCTAGTGTACATGCTCTGTCCATATTTTGTGTGAAGACGGACGTTATTACCAGTAAAAAAAATTGGGGTGTCAGAGCGGGGAGGGGAGTTTCGCATTTTTTCGTCAATTTCTATGGGAATTTTTTTTTTGACAGAGCTGGGGGGCAACCTCCCCCCCCCCCCCCCCCCCTATCCGCGCCTGCCATTATGGGTTGTGGCATTATGAGTCGTGGCGTTATGTGTCGTGGCTTTCATAATTGTTTTATCTTCGAGAAGTCACAGCTTTTCAAACAAAGACGACAACTAGAGATAAAACTTCAAGTAATGCATCTTTTTGATTAGCCCTTATTTTAAATGGTATGTTAATAAATTCTTGCTTCTGATTGTAGATTCCCCACAACCAACTGCAATCATCGGAAACATCGGCACAGTCAGCGGTAGCAACAAACCTACTATTACTGGTTCAAGTGGAGTTAATGTCAATTATGGTAAAAGTAGTTTGATACCTTACATCAAATATTCATATTTTTTAGGGTTGGGGACTACATAATTATACCTGGACACAAAAGGCGGATGGGAAAATTTGCTGGAGAGTAATCAATTTAGCCAGTTTGTGGTATGCACAATAATGAGGGCGCTATTTCTAGTGGGAAAAGTCTTGTAATTTGTTCCTCGATCTATGCACCCACGCCAAACAGCGCCCCCTATTGTGTATGAGTCACATTTATGACAAAACAAAAGGCTAATACAAGCTTTAGTGAAGTCGCACGTTCATTTTGCATAAATGCATGGGAAAAAAAGGGACTGTTGGGGACAAAATCTAATAATCATGGTTGGTAATGTGATTTGCAGAGCAAAGTGGATTTTGCTTTATGGATTCGTCCAGTGCGATTGACCAACTTATTTTAAGTCAGAATTATATGAACCAGATACCGCTAATTAGAAGTGTTGCAGGCACTGTGATTACAAGAAGATTATTGCTATTATCTTAGTCAATCTTGGGAGAGAGATGTACAATCAACTTATTTTGTACACCTGCAGTTACCAGTATTTTGTCTTTTTTTTTTTTGGTGTAAAAAAGTAAATGCACTATAAGACAATATTTGACAAGTTTGCATCTAACAATAGTACAAAATCCACTAAGCTGTGCGTTTTTCAGCAAAACGAAAACAATTCACATTTGTTTTCGTTTTCCTGAAAGAACACTTATCTCGGATCCGTGGACAGAACTTCAAAACGATGATGAAGGACAAAACCTAATTTGATTCAAAACGGTGGTCGTGTTTAAAATTCCCTAACTTGAAAAGTACTGAGTGATTTGAATGATTCTTGCACTAAAAGAAAGCTTATGAACGGTTTGTGTTTACTTTGGAATCACATGTTTTGTATTCGCTTTGTCCACCGATCCTAGCTATACGCGACGATCGCCGAGCCGGTTCGCGACATTCCTTTATAGCGATCATAGTTGACCTACGTGCAGCGTGGCAGGTCTGGATGCACCACACTCCTATGGTCTATCAGAATTTCTGCTATTTTTGCGTCTTTTCCTCTCGCTGGATCGCAAAACCTGTGTTTTCCAAGTCTTGTTTTAAAGAGGTTGTGGAATGCTTAAGACATTTCCGTCATGTTTCGGGTATATGTAGCCTAAGGTGTGATGAAATAAAAATGACTATTGTTTCTGTCATGAAATGAGTACAAAAGGTACTTTTGAGAGCTGTTTTTCAGGTCCAGTTTCGACCCGAACGTGCAACTGTGTAAAAGTCGTCGTTGCGGGCAGCAAACAAAACACAGTAAATCGTGACGTAATAAACAGGACTCGTGTATGCTACTGTGCATCGGGAGTTCCTGTTTATTACGTCACGATTTACTGTGTTTTGTTTGCTGCCTGCAACGACGACTTTTACACAGTTGAACGTTCGGGTCGAAACTGGACCTGAAAAACAGCTCTCAAAAGTACCTTTTGTACTCATTTCATGACAGAAACAATAGTCGTTTTTATTTCATCACACCTTAGGCTACATATACCCGAAAAATGACGGAAATGTCTTCGGGCATTCCACAACCTCTTTAATTTACGGTACAACACTGCGCATATGCACATTATTTACAGTTAGTCTGTACAGTATGTACAGCTCCATCTGCCAAAGTTATTATTCATAACTGCACTACCCCAAAAGCGCATGCGCACACTAGGTCCAACTGGCTTCAGAACGAATAAGGAGCGTCCCGCTCTTAATTCAAAAGTTGAAATTAATGAATTGATAACTTGTCGTAGGCCAATTTTTTTCGTGGGACATCTTATTGGAAAGCTCACACTAATGTAATGCCAGAAAAGTATCAAGTCAATTTGAAAATCTATTTTCATGGTGGCACGGCCCAAAAAGCACGTATATACATGTACCAACTATAGGCCCGGGTCGGATTCGATGTATAGTGTGCCCTCGAGCCTCATGCGTGTGCAGTAATTAGTAACAGTACAGTAGGAAACACGGGAAGGAGTACAATTAAAACTTGGAAGACAGTGCAATCTGTTTCATAAACATTGAAGCAATACATGTTTTGATCTAATAGGAGTGTCTGCACTCGGACGTCAGCAAAGTCAGAACCCAGAACAAGAACCAAAGCTGGGGGCTGCTAGCTACCAACATATCGGTAACATGACTTGGGGGATTTTGAAGTGTGTTTATAAAACAACAGGCAGCTACGTGCAGTTGTTGCCTGGGATTGATAATGACAAAATGCACATAGCTGGTATATTCACTAAAGTACAGTTAGAAACACGGGAAGGGGTAGCAGTGACTGGCCAGAGAGGAGAAACTGCATGTAAACTCAACGGAGTATGCAATAATATTCCGATTAAGGACAAAAACTGTTGAAATCATTAAACGCCTCATTTTCTTTGGCATAGGATGTGTCGGGAAGTCAACCATTTTTGATAAGATTGCATTTGACTGGGCCAATGAGACAAGCGAAATCCTGAACGGATTCAAGCTTGTCTTTCTTTTAAAGATGTGTGCCCTGTCGCTAGAATCCGATCTCGTTGATTCAAATTTCGATCAACTTCTGGGAGAAAAGTCAGGAATAGAAAAAGATGAACTTGATAAACTCATCCTGGCCAACCCAAATGAGGTCTTGATTCTCTTGGATGGTTTTGATGAAATGAAGACCAAAAATCTTCGGATTTATCCTAAAAGCACTCAATAGAACAGTATACCAGGAATGTTTCCTCTGGGTCTCAACCCGCCCCTCTCATCTTGAGACACTGATGTCAGAATTACTTGTCCGAAATCCTTGCACACATGTAGAGGTTCTGGGTTTACTGACGAGGATGTTAATGCATACATTCAGAAATTCTATGACAAAGATCCTGATAGTGGCAATGCACTAATCCAAACCATTGGAAAGTCCAACACACTGCATGATTTTGCTACGAATCAAATGTTTTTGCGTCTAATTTTTGGCAGCAAAACTCTTTTCATTTTTTTGTCAGTAGCACGTTTAGATGACAAAACTCTGCACGAGGTCGCTGAGAGGCTTTCTGCAAAATGGACAACACTGGCGGTTAAGGAGCTGGGCTTTTCCACGGTACAGGTTGAGACCATCGAGAACAAATACCCAAATAATTATATAATGCAGGGTCTCGATATGCTTGTAACATGGAAACAGGCCCAGTCCTCCAGTGATGAACAAAAGATGACCATGTTGTGCACAGCATTGACAAAGATCGGAAGAGCAGATATTGCTGAATTTCTGCACGGTAAATACATGTACATGTCTATTTGCTCATTGCATGGGTAATGTGAAGAGTTATAGAAAGAGGCTACTTGCATAAATTGCAAATACATGTCTCTGCGCATTGTACGCGTAATGATACATTAATTTTGTATGTCAAAAATGACAATTGTCTACGTCAACATGACAATAATGTCAGGTCAAATCTGTTCACCTTCTATATAATTACACAGTTTGTTATCAAAGTTGAACTTAAGCTGGTATAAACATGCTTTTTCAATATTTCGATTTTCTTTTCCGAACGAAATTTAGAGGAATATTATGTCCTGGCAGACCTTTATATAAAGTTTTAAAAGTGGTGTTAAATGGGCGCTCCAGTTCAGGTCTTGAGCGAAATCCAATAAATATTCGTATCTAATGACGTTTCAACTAATATGGGTTGTAGGTTAATTTTGGAATCACGCGTTTTGTATTCGCGTGATCGCCGATCTAGCTACGCAATGATCGCCGGGCCGGTATGAGACACTGATACGCTATCATAGTAGGCCTATACATGTACATGTGCGTGCAGCCAGGCCGGTCTGGATGCACCACACTCCTACGTTCTGTCAGAATCTCTTTTGCGTCTTTTCCTCTCACTGGATCACAAGGTCGCGGTTTTTCAAGTCTTGTTTTAATTTACGGTACAATACTGTGCATACGCACAATACTGTGCATACGCACAGTATGTATAGTCCCTACAAACATTAGGTAATTGGCCCAGTACCGACCAGTATCGGGCTTGTACCGGCAGTAATAGGACCACTATTGGGCCAGTTACCTAATGTTTGTTGGGGTCTGTACAGTATACAGCTCCATAGTTGTTACAATTATAATCAGTAACTGCACTGTCCCAAGGGTGCATGCGCACATTAGGTCCTAATGGCTTCAGAACGAATAAGGAGCTTCTTGCTCTTAATTAAAATCTCCTTAAATCAAAAGTTGAAATAAATTAATTGATTACTAATCGTGGGCCTATATTTTTTTCGTGCGTTATCTTATTGAAAAGCTCATAACTAATGTAATGCCAACAAAATTATCAATTCAATTTGAACATTGTATTTTTCAAGGTGGCACACCCAAAAAAAAACACGTATATGTACCAACTATAACAGTCCCTGGTCAACAAAGGTCAGCTATAGATTGGATGTAATAGTGTGCCCTCGAGCCTCATGTGTGTGCAGTTAGAAACAGATTAGTTAGAAACATGGGAAGGGGTACAATAAAAACTTGGAAGACAATTCGATCTGTTTCATAAACAATGTTTAATGAAGCAATACATGTTGTTTGTTTTGATCTGAATAGGAGCGCCTGCACCCAGACCACAGCATAGTCAGAGACCAGACCAAGAACCAAGGCTGGGGGCTCCTAGCTACCAAGAAGCTGGTAACAAAACCGGGGACAGTTTGAAGCATGAGGTAATTTCCCCTTTTAAAAGCCAGCAGCTGATTTCAAGAAAATTGTGTAGCTTGCGCCATGCATAAGACTTACACAACAAATTTGTTGCACAGCTGCGCAATAAACTTACAATCCATTTCACGAAACTTGGCGTAGCTGCACATCATTTTAAACATCTTGGACGAGGAAAATAACAGCATTACGACGGCTGTTTGTGAATGAATTAGTTCGTTCACGAAACAGTCGTGGGTTGTACCACTTGGTACTTTGTTATTGTAGCTTTCTATACAAATCTGATTGCAGTACTAGGGAGCGACTTTCAACGTGGACACTTCGGCCTGCTCTGACACAATAAGTTCATCTTCCCGTGCTTCACTTGCCCTATTTATTCCCTGGCACACTTTTTCTGTTAACATGCAAGTGTTTCGTGTATCATCTACGGTCTCTCATTACCAAAAAAAACCAACACTTGCCTACGGCCACTACCATGCACTAGTACGTGTATGCATGGGCGTCAATCCTGGGGTGGGAGGGGGACATGTCATGGTTAAAGTGGTCAGAAATTGCCTCAAATAACACCACAGAGCATTAAGAATCCAAAAGTTTTCAGGGCCCTTAAGCGGGCCCCGAACCCCACGCCTATAGCTCAGAATTCTGGTAGCTGATTCAATGACTCCAACCTCAAAAACAATGTTCAAACATTTTTCTTATGCCTTGAGCTGAGAAAAACTCGAAAATTGTGTTTAACTATTAATAATAATTAATTATTGGTCAAAGTGGTAAGAAATTGCCTCACACCACGGAGCATCGAGAATCCAATTTTTTCGGGGCCCTTAAGCGGGCCCCGAACCCCACGCATATAGCTCAGAATACCGATAGATGATTCAATGACTCCAACCTCGAAAGCGATGTTCAAATAATTATCTTTTGCTAAGAAATTATTAGCTAAAGCATGGAGGAATGTGGTAAAAATTGCTTCAGATCACACCACAGAACATCTAGAATCCAATTTTTTCGGGGCCCTTAAGCGGGCCCGGAGCCCACGTCGTAAGGGCTTTGCGCTTCGTGCTTGCTCAGTTCTGATCAAGGTATGTCCCCCCCCCCCCCATTTTGAGAAGCGATTGATGCCCCTGCGTGCATCTGCCCAGCCTAAATATTAACAAAATCGTAATATAAATATTAACCAAATCACAATATAAATATTAACCAAGTCACAATATAATACTCATTACTGCTTTTAATATGTAATTTACTCTAAATATTTGTATTAGACTAAACTCTTTATCACGTGATGATACTATTTCAAAATAGGGGTCATTCAAATTTTCAATGTGTTTCAAATTTCGCATTTTTGGCAAAATTGTTTTGACCCATCCACCCACCCCAAATTTCGTTTTTGAAATGTTGAATTGCTATTCAATATATCCTATACACCGAAGAACAAAGTATTGCTTCAAATCAACCAGATATGTTAGGTCAATGCTCTCCCAGCTCAGAAGTTTTCAATGGCTGCTTCCAGCACGCAACTTTGATGTTGAAACGTGAGAAAATTGCCAATCACAAAAAATGTTCAGTGTTTTGACCTCTCTTGAGAGCTCCGTGGACGGGACACGACACGCGGCGTGCGTGTTAACAGTAAAAAAAATCCGATTCTCTGGAGATATCCAAGATGGCGGCCAAAATGACAGCCAAAAAATGGTAAAAAACTTAAAAAAAGATATATCAGCCAAATAATGTGATAAAAGCATAAATATATTGGTTAGGCCAAAAAAAAGGTCTCCGGTTTCTGGTATGGAGCTTGCCCCAAAAGTGGTGCGGCGACGCGCCTTTTGTTTTCCCTTTTTTTTCTTCAAATGACGGCTGATGACTGCAAATGGTACCCAACTAAATTTAGTGCAAAATGTATGGGAGCCCAGAGAGGCCACATAAAGCTTATACTCGATCGTAACCCCATCTAAAAACACGTTAAAATTGTGCAGCAGCAGGATTCCAGTCAAACCAGTGAATCTGGCGTTTTTGAGACATCATCTTACATTGAAAAGAACACTTTTCAATTTTGCCGACGCGCATGGCTGTACGGCAACCCTCACGAACTAATTTCTTGTATCCTTTTTTGCTATCAAGCTTCAAATTCAAGGCGGCGGCCAATATGGCGGACAAAATGGCCGCCATATTGGTAAAAAATGGAACAAGTCATATATCAGCCTAATAATATGAAAAAAATCATAAATAAATTAAAATTGTTAGCTACATGTATATGTTTTTGACCCTCACAAACTAATTTCTGGTATCATTTTTTTGCTATCCAGCTTCAAATTCAAGATGGCGGCCAATATGGCGGCTAAAATGGCCGCCATATTGATAACAAATGGAAAAAGTAATATATCAGCCTAATAATATGATAAAATCACAAATAAAATTGTTAGTGATATGTTTTTGACCCTCACAAATTCACTTCTGGTGTCCTTTTTCAGTTTGCTATCATCTTCAAATTCAAGATGGCGACCAGGATAGCCGCCAATATGGCCGCCAAAAGTGGTCAAATGTGAGAAAAATGATATGTATCAGCCAAATAATATGATAATATGCATACATTTATTTATTACTGAGATATATGCTTTTAACCCTTCCAAATTCATTTCAAGCATTCTTTTGTTTTGCTACCATATTTCAAAATGGCTGCCAATATGGCTGCCAAAAATGTCAAATGTGAGAAGTTGAGATTATGTGTTTGAGACTTCATTGCACATCTGGATAGTGGATTTGTCTTACTTTGTAAACATTTTTTCTTCCAAATTCAAGATTGTGGTCCAAACAAGTGACCGTACTAAATCAAAATAAATAAAAAATACATCAAAATATATATATATATTAAATAACTATGAACACTCACTAAGTGCTGTGGAAAATAGTTTCTGCTGGTATCTCATATAAAGGCTAAAAGTAAAATATACATAGTCATTTTATATAGTGATTGTCCACTGCTTTAACACACACACACTTAGTACATGTATTGTGAAAGACAAAAAAATACCCATTCAGTAATACATTTGGAGGTATCTCAACTAAAAGCAAAAGTATAGACATTTTATAATATAGCGATTTTTTTCCGATTTGATTGCAAGACGGGTCCTTCTGACCACTCTGGCTCAATGAAGTCTCCACACATCGGGTCCAGCCATGCTCTACATAGAGGCGGCATTTCCTGGATGGGTACATCTGACCTCTTCCACTGCACTGCCCCGTAATTGACACGCTTGATGTGAGGTACCAGAGACTGTTTGCATGGTGGAAGCCTAGACAGATCAACTTTAGATGAGCTCCTGGTGGCTCTGCCCTCACCAACAATCATCTTATGCACGAGGGCCCTTACTGTTTTAACTTCCTTGACCCTGGGGAATCCATAGAGGAAGTATGATAAATCCTCTAGCTCACCTACCAGCTCCGCATCTACTTCCCAGCTTTCGCCCAATTTGGCAAAACACTCTTGATACCGTGGCTTAATTCTCAAGCTTCTTCAGAGGGGTTTTCTTATCCTTTCCCTTGAAGGCACAGTTGCAGTCCCCGCCAGTAAAGCAGCATATGCCAAGTAGCTGGTAGGTGAGCTAGATGAAATGTTATGCTCCCTCTATCTATTGATTCCCCAGGGTCAAGGAGGTTAACACAGTAAGGGCCCCCATGTTCAGAAGATGGTTGGTGATCGGGGCAGGGCCATCAGGAGCTCATCTAAAGTTTACCTGTCCAGGCTTCCACCATGCAAACAGTCTATGGTACCTTACATCAAGCGTGTCAATTACAAGGCAGCACAGTGGAAGAGGTCAGATGTACCCATCCAGGAAATTCTGCCTCCTACAGATATGGCTGCATGAACCCAATGTGTGGAGACTTCATTGAACCAGTCTGGTCAGAAGAGGCCGTCTTGCCATCCTGTCTTGTAGACATCTCGGCTGAAGTCACAGAAGAGGAAACGTCAGATAACAAAGATGTTGATATCAATGGAGATGATCTATAAATGAATCGGACTTTTCCGGTCTTGACGACTATGACAGCAATTAATACTTTGTCATTATCAAAGCGGCTGACAACCTCTATATAAAATGTCTATATCTTTATGTACATGTAGATACATGTACCTAGCCTAGGGCCTAACAGTAATTTTTTTTCTCACACCACTAAGTGTGTGTTCATAGTTTAATATATTGTTGATATGTTATTTTGTTAATTTCTTTTAATTTACTGCAGTCATTTAGACAGTGACCATCTTGAATTTGAAACATGTTAGCAAGTTATAAAACAAATCAAGACGTGTAGGCCTAAAATGAGTAACAAATATCTCAACTTTCACTTATACAGTACATATCGTTTATGTCTGCGATACTTACACAATGTGGTAAGCAGACTGAAGAGGATTTCGCCTGTTCAACGCAAAGATTGCAGGCGTTTTTCATACATTCAGAAAAGAATTTGGGCCGTGTGCCATTATAGGGTGTCCCCTAAAAGACGCGCAGATTCTCTTCATAACACCCGCTGTGGGTTATTGTTTTGACAAATGACCAAAATATTGCATTTGAGCAGCAGCTCGACTGACTTCTCGTTTAAAAGGAGACTGACAGCCTAATTGTTTTCACTTTCGGTCTGGTAAGTGTGGTGAGCACTTTCCAGTTCTTTGTGAAATAACTGATACCCCAATTGTTTCACGGCTTTATAGACCATAAAAGAACCCGCTCTGTGTAATTCTCAATGAAAGTACAAAATAAAATGACATTCACATTTTTGTGCAAGTAAAATCATGTCCGAGGCCTCTCAAATTCTGATCTTATTTTGACACATTTTATATCATGAATTGTTTTTTCAGACCAGCCAGGACACAGAGGTGCCAAGGTCACCAGAGCCCAGCCATCTTCAAAAGGTGTTAGATGAAGTCAACAAGCTGAAGAAGAATCTTTCTGCAAGGGAGCAGTTGGATAGCAGAGTACAGTTACCCTACATGGCCATTGGGTACTTCAACGAGAAGGGCGGAAGCTTGTCCCTGGATGAGTATGGCGTGCACCTCACCATCCCGCGTGGTGCAATAGCTTCAGGCCCTCCACAGCAAGTCTACATCTATGTTGACCCTACGGCACCACAGAAGGGTGCAGTTGAGTCGACAGTGGTCTCGCTTTCACCAACTGTCAAGTGCGGCCCCGAAGGGTTGAGATTTAAAGAGAGTGTTGTGCTGTCCTTTCCTCACCACGCTGTTTTGGGAGGTCAACCATATGACAACCTAGATGTAAGAATGCGTCATGACGACTCGCAGGAGAGGCGATTGAAGGATGGCAATCCTGCTTTAGTCACGGAGAAAGAGGTGTTTGTCCTGGCCGATCATTTCACCAATTTTGATCTGGTTGGCGCACCTACTCCTGGAAGCAGTAAGCGGATGAAGGTCGCTGCCTTTGGAGGCGTCCTTGGCATGCAAAGTCGTCAGTATGCGTTTCGGGTCCATGTTTGGAACGACGATACAAGTGTTGAACGGGTATGTAAAGAATTTAAAAAGTATTGAGAATGTTTCTCAAGTATTGAGAATGTTGTATTTCTACTTACATACTGTAGCCACCCATGCTTTCTTTGACATTGCGTCCAAATTGCAATTACCATAAACGTTTTTCCTGAGAATTCCGTGACAAACCTTCCATCTGTGGACATGGTATGCACAAATAACACGGAAGGTGAAATATCGTCAATTTACAGCAAGTTCGATCAGTAATCACTTGTTTTAAAATACAGTGGTCAACTTCTGACATACAACTATGTACCACTCCTAGTCCATCTATGCTCATACACTGATCCCGGCTCCCTGCTATGAACTGCTATATGTACGGCTATTTGTAACCAGGTTCCTGCAGGGTGTCCTAGAAAAAAATTACACCCTAACTTTAATCATCGCACCTTCAAAAATAACTATCAAAATTTAAACAAAAAGTCAAACGGGAACATGGAGTGCAATTATTTTGCTACATTGTGGTGAAAACCACTTTTCATTTGGTTCAGTAGTTACGAAGAAATGATCGGTTATGTCACATTTGTCAAAGAACACTTCCTTCCAAGTTCGTTCATAATACCGATTGTTCTACCGCCAATGGCTCTCACTTCATTCCTCACTGATTTATGAACCAGCATTGTTTAATATTTTGCGAGATCAATGTAATGTTCTCATTATAACAGTAGTAAATAATTAACCGTGACAATTATAACAAGGAAACAAAAAAACAAAGCATGGTAAGGGAAAAGAATGACTCCTTTTATTAAAAGAAAATTAAATGTTCTTGCAAGTGATATCTGAATCACTCATTATGAGCAAACTTGGAAGTTGACTAATGTAACATAATCGCTCATTTCTTCATAACTAATGAACCAAATGAAATGGGTTTTCTCCACAATGTAGCAAAATAAAAGCACTTTATGTTCCCGTTTGATTTTATTCAATTTTGATACTTATTTTTGAAGTTGCGATCACTTAAATTTAGGGTGTAATTATTTTCTGGGACACTTTGTAGACTTAGTCTAGCACTCTTCATCGGATATGTAGGAAGTTTAGTCTAACTTTTGTTCCCCCAATCTTTTGATGAAATCTGCAACTTGGCCTTTTATAACTGTATTCTTTTCAAAGTATGTCATCCGAGAAGAAGAGCAGCGCATGAACTCAAAGATGTTGGACGTTTCCAGGAAGATACTGTTTGTCTGGGATAGCGGGAACTTGGCTGTCAGAGTATCAGATCTTAACGGTGGTTGGACATTTTGGGGAGCGAGGGAAGAGGTTGGTAGATACACCAATTTCCATTCATTAGATGGAATTACATCAGTGAATGGCAAATCCCATTTAATAGAGGTTACAATGATATGCGTTCTCCATTTGGTTTCAAGCTTTATTTTTAGATAATTCATTGTGGTTTGAGTTACTTTCTAGAAGTCTTATTTAAAAAATTCCAATCCCTTTGTGGCAAAAAGGGATCGCAATGTATCTTTTAAGCCCCTGTCACACTTGTCCGAATCTATATTTCCGTTCATAAACCGATCTGAAATATTATTAATTCGGACACGTTCGGAGAGAAATGTCAAAAAACAGCCAGAAATGAAAATCCACCGATCATAATCCGGTCTTATTCCGGATCTAATAAGTTGCTATTCCGATTGCAATCCGTCTATATTCAGAACCTCTCCGATCATCACTGGACATGCCAAACTCATTGATCTCAAGACCGACCGCTTTCCGAACATTCCGTTTATATTCGGTGCGTCCGTTTTTTGATCGGCATTACAATGGTGTGGGTACGGAATGAACTCTGAATACATACGGTTATCGATTGGAATCGGAGGCCTGTTCCGTACTCTTCCGTACCTATTCCGCATTGCAACGAATAGCAGCGAATGAGTACAGTGTGTATTCCGTGCATATTCCGTGTGTATACCGGATACCGTCCGTATTGAGGTTGCCGCGACAATTCGGAGAAATTATTAAACAGGTTCAATAATTTCTCCGAGTTCCTCAGTGCATCACCGAACGTACACGAGTATATAGCGTTGGAAAACCGAGGAAAACCGAGGGAAATCCGTTTGAGTTCAGTTCAAACCGATTAAACACCGAATCCACAATGTTTTACTCGGAACATGAACGGAGTGACGATTCGGACAAGTGTGACAGGGGCTTTAAGGTCGTCTCGGGACAGTTAAAGAATGTTGTTATAGTCACTTATGTGTTTAGAATTTCTCTTGTCATATCCATGCATATATTTCCAAGCAACGTAAAACTGAAATAAAATTCTGTCTCCGATTCGTAAGATATGCCTAGTCCAATCATGTTCGAATTGTCTAATCAATTATTTTTTCAATAGGCCATCGTTGAAAGAAACGTACAACTCTTCCCTGAGAACTCCGTAACATTCAACCTGAAACGGGAAGATTCACAAGACAGAGGGCTTTACTGTATTGCTCGCACATTCCAGCGTTCTCCAACTGAAGATTCGGGGAATCAATCCATCGCTGATCTTAAAATCAATCCGAATGCTGTAAGTTGGTGTCTAATTTCAGTTGCCGGTAAAGGACAATACCAAGTCAGAAATAGGAGCGATTCACAATACCGCTAAGCAGTCTCTAGAGGATTCAAATCCAGAGAAATACTCGCTGCCTTGTGGAGAACAAAAATCGACATCGTGCAACCCACAGCGTATGTGAGCATTGGTGTACGTTTATTATTCGGCGATGGTTTTAACATTTGGAGGCATCAGTAGAATACCTCAAAACTGAAGGTGTCCTTGAAATAACCATTGATGGAGGAAGGCGTCGCGTAGTTACCTATGTCGATCCGCGAGCCGGAAAAAGACCTTTGGGAGAGGGCGCACCGTATTGTGAATCGCTCCATTTGCAATGTATTTGCTTCCTTTATTTTGTTAGATTGACTGGCCCCCGTCCTGTATGACTGTAACTTGTGAAATAGACTGGTTATCCAGGCGTGGATCCAGAGAGGGGGGATCAAAACCAACCCCCGGCTCTGACTCAAATTGTTTTGTTCCATAGAAATACATTGAAAATAATGTGAAACCCCCCTCCCCGACCCCTGCTCTGACACCCTAAAAAAAATTCTGACAATTCTACCGGTAATAATACTTGGCTGTACACACAATTTGTTCAAAGCCAGCTTGGTTTCGGGGGTATTTGTATTAATTCTGTAATTTGGTGTTGATGATCGTCGGATTTGAACAGCGCCCCCATCTAAAGTATGGTACAACCTCCCCCCCCCCCACCCCTATTGTTTTTAATAGACTTAAATGCGCTCAGTACCCAGCCTTAGACCTGTATATAATCCCTGATATTCTCAATCGCAAAGGATTTATACAAGTATATTTTGCAAAAAGCTTGTCAGTTAAAAAGTTTCTAATGCCTCATCCTGAAGTCAAGTAGTCTTACATGAGACATGCACATGGTGGTTACCACGAGCCAGCGCTAAACAAATCTAGCTTGCAGGTTTGGGGACTCTAGGAGATTTAACTACATTGCAACAATTAAAGAATTCTTACACAACGGATCTCAAAATAATTTCTTTTGTGCGACATTTAAAACGTTGAAAGCTTGTTTCCTAGTAAGCACAAGAGCGAAAAACATAAAACCAATATTTCAAGGGAATACCGTATGTTTTTTTTAACTGCAGGAAACCTCTACCAGCAGTCGTCAGCAAAGGGCGAGTTTCCTCATTTATAGCAATGTTAAAAATCGCTAATGTTCTGCAGACATCTGTGATGAGATTGTGTCTAGGGTCTTGAGGCATTTTTCGTGATTTGTTTGTTTTTTACTCTTCGATTTTTCCTAGACGTGAACATGAAACCACTATGAATTTTGCATGTGATTCATTGTTGGTTTTGAAGGGTGTTCGTCATTGCTTGAGGAGTAACAAGTGTTATTGTTGTTGTTTTTGCAGCCTGATGATATTCTGTCTACTGAAGGAAGAAGTCGCTGTACATGCTACACAGTAAGTTTCTGGCGATGTACACTTGTCATTTTATTTAACCTTTCTATTCTATGAGAGAACAAAATTATAAATTTTACCAGCTGAGGTCTTATAGGCTCACGGCAACAATGCGACTTTACTATGTAAGACTGGTTTCAGAGTTATGACAAACATTTAGTAAAAACAATAGAAATAATGCTGTTCAGTGCAACTTAAGCATCCATAATTGTCTTTCGTGGATAAGTTGCAGTACGTCAAGTTCATTGCCCACCCGTCAGTTTATTTCAGTTGTCCAACATTTCTGATTATGTACAAGAATGTTTGTGTCTTAGCTCACAATTTTGTTGTTGAGTTTATAACAGGTCCAGAACAAGTCCATCCCAAGTTCAGTCACAAGTATAGCACGAGTCCATTAACAATAATTGGAAGTCTAGTCACGAGGAACAGGGGACGAATAATAAAAAAGGAATGTCTTTGTCACGTGCAGTTCATATGTATAGTTGTGACTGGGAATTTATGGACCTGTAATGTAGGACACTTTTTATGCAAAATATTCCTCCATTTTCAAGTGGCAGAATGCATTGCAATATGTATTTATAATTCGCAAGGAGCCAACTATTTACTAAGGAAGCTCATGTTGTTTACTGTGTCTTTTTCTCAGAGTGACGGGGTAGCTGTTGTGTGTGACAACTGCATGGTAAGATGATACGATCCGATTCCCACATAAAAGTAGGTTTCACTAGAAAGTTGGCATTTCATGGAAATGCAACTCCTTACAATATCTTTTAATCTCTCAGCCTTCTGATACTTACCATGCAAGAAGTAGACTAGAAGCAAAAGCAAACATACAAACCGTGCAAATACCATTTAGAATGTAGACCTTACGCGTAACTGTCATCTTAGAGTAGACGCCTTTGTTTTGCCTGGATATTCATAAACGATCATTTTGAGCAGTCACGCCTACTAATAGATACCATTCTAAGATGGCTGGCCGCTACGCGTGAGGTATATATTTGAGACCCCGGTCGCTTAATGTGCATTAAGATGCCTTGGAAACTGCTCAAAATTGGGCTACCTTATCTGTGAGAAGGAATTTTCCTCGAGATGGTTGTAATTTTGTCAGATGTTAAATAGAAACGGCACCAGGAGCAAAGGCAAGGTACCTCTCTCTTCTGGGCAAAACAAATCCCAGGTCTTTTATTTGAGGTGAAAATGTTCTGTACTGATTCCATTCAAACAATATTTACCATACAGAAATCATGCAACTTAATAAATGTCCATGTTGTTAAATGTCCATTAAATGAATGGCAATATGACTTCCCACCTCGTCTTTTTTTAGCTGTTTCAGTGTACACGCCGAAATAGCTTTTGTTTTTGTTATTTTTTGTTATTTTTTTTTAGCTGTTTCGTATTTTATTTTTGTTATTTTTAGCTGTTTCGGTGTACAGTGCGAAATAGCTATTGTTTTGTTATTTTTTTCTAGTTTCTTTTTTTTATTTTTTTTTCCACTGCGTTTTCCATAGGATAACACATGTTTTCATTCTCAACTCCACTCTGGGGCTTTTAGTCACACCCGATCAAGTTCAAACCTTGCACATACTTACACATACTCATGTGTCATGTGACGTCATTAATGTGTTCTAGATGAAAATTGAGGTGATGTCATGACGACGTCATCAATTGAATTTTTCATGGATTTTTCATTTTGTTTTTCATCTCATCTCCATATCTCGGGAACAGAACTCTTTTTGTATTAGGTTTGGTACGTCATAGATATATGCATAATATTTCGAATAACATGTGACACGGGCGTCGCTAGACCATTTTGAATGCGGGTGCCATCATGAAATTTGCCGGCGGATCGTCACGCAAAATTAGTGTTAATTTCAGCACAAATTCAGCCCTTACGTGATACAGTCCGCGATTCAGCCAGGAATTTGGTGGTTGGTACCCGAACCACACAGTTTTGTTTTAACTCATGCAGAAAGCTGGATAACTCGATTTCTAATTTCCTCCACAAATATGTTATGAATTGTTAATTATGTTGGTTAGCTTTAATGGATTAATTTCAACTTTCAGTGGGGTATTAAGTCCAACTTCAAAAGTAAATTGTCAGTTGGCCCCAAATTTGACATTTGCTTGTCGCAAAACTGCATGCTTGACCGCGTCTAGCCCGACTGCATCTGGCCGTACAGTATTATCGCAAGCTCTGTAGTACGGCCAGACGCCCAATACTCCCCTAAACGCTGAACTCTGATGTAGCGATTTTGCTACCGATTTTGATCGAGATTATCTTTTCATCCAGGACAGAAATTTCCAAAGTTAAGGTTCCTAGTCGTAAAGGAACTCATACCTTTTCGAAAAAAAACGTTTTTTTATTAAAAATCTTCATCCATCTGACCAAAAAAACGACTTTCAATCATCATCTCCCACGAATATCGTCCCGAAAATGTTCCTCCATGCGATTTCAAAATGGTGGCCGCATTGTAATGTATGCATTATAGGGGCGCGCTTGAGTAAGGTTATGAATATGCATTATTCATGCAGTTCATGACCTCGTGTTTGTATGGCCAGCCGCCCCGCGCGCCTGGCAAACGTCATGAACTGAATGCATATTCATAATTTGTGATGTATCACATCACAAACATCTCATCAAAACTGTAGCTTGACTCTCTTTCGAAATTGGTACTCTTTAGCTTGAACCATGATTTTGAGTCGTCACTAAGAATTAGCTTAATTCGTAACTGCCTGCGAACGAGCACGTGCTTGTGTTTTGCACAGCTGTGTAGCTGTCAACCCCCGTATAATAATAATAAGCAACCTCGCGCAGCAGCTCATGCCAATGTACGATCTTTTGCCATGGGTTGCAGAACCGGATTTTCGCTTCGCGGAGTTTTGAGCAGCGGTGTTTATTATTTACACTATCCATTTTTCCTTCTTCCCTCTTCCTTTCCCCTTCCTTCTTAATTTTTTATTTTCCATTTTGCCGACAACACCAGTTTGCCGACAAAACTCACTAACCCCCTCCCCCCCCCCCCCCCGTAGCGACGCCCATGGATGTCATCACGACGTCATCAAGAATGAAATGTGGGTTTTTGAAACACATATTTGTAAGGGAATGTTGAACGTTATGAAACTTGGTGGGCAGGGTATTGATAATAGTATTCATGAAGTGAGGTCATGATGACATCATCAACTAATTTGTTTGTAAGTTTAAAAATTTTAATATTTTTTTCAAATTGCAAAACTTGACATGAAATGCAATTAGATTGACTCGAACAAGGCACAGACCAAGACCAAAAGCCAATGTTTTTTCCTAAACATACGTCGTGATGACATCATCATTAGTCATGTGACGTTTTCTTAAAGGTGCATAATTTACATTCCTATATCTAGAGTTCTAGATAGCCAATTGCGTTGAAAATTTGTAAATTCCCAGTTACGTGTGTGTTATAAATGGAAATAAAACTGATGTCATGATGACGTCATCATGATGACGTCGTCATGATGACGTCATCATATTGATTTCTAGACTTTGTTAATAATAATTATTTATAACACTAAATTCACTTCTACACAGCGCAATATTTTCGGAGCCATATATGTGCACATGTACATCCGACTTGGATGAAACTCCTACATGGTAGATGTCACTAAACTGTTTTGAAACAACTAAGTGTTTGTCCACAAACACAATTCTAGTCTCTTTTCTTTCTCTTTTCTACTTTTTTTGTTGTTGTTTTTTTTTGCAAGCGCCCACCCCCTCCCTTCCCCCTTCCGACGCCCATGGCAAAGGGGCGTCTTTAAGAAAAATCTTTTGAAGCTTTTTCAGCCATTTAATATTGATATTAAAGCAAACCTAACAACATGCAGCAAAAAGATGAATTAGCAAAACATCAAACCAACCATTGAATAAGTCACCAAAGTGTAATTTTATTTTTGAATTACTCAGGCAGATATTGGAACAAATGATCACGGAGAGGTTAGCGCACACGATTACGGTGGATTGTCAGAGGAAAGGGTAAACTCCTTATGTTCTTATCTCAGCATCAATGATAGACATCTTACACTCCTGGAAAAGATTCGCAATTTGGAGGGCAGATCTAGACAGGATCTCATCGGAGAGAACAGAATTCGCGCAAGAAACGTACTGGAAATCTTTTTTAACGGTCGCAGACGTACATTCAGTAATGTAACAGATAACGAAGCGATAGAGTCACTGGTACAGATACTGATTGAGTTGCAATTCACAGGCGCTGTAGATATCATCAGACAAGATTTCGACGAGCCCATGGAGGTACAGTAGTGATAAATAATTAAGCAGTTATGCAGTAGTAGGCGTATATAGTACGTGTAAAAGTAGTATATTAGTTGCGCGTGCTCATTCGCGAGTTAATTACTAGTTTTGCGCGCCACTAAATTTCTCGCGATTGCTCTTTTTGGTAACATTAATAAAATATATAAATTGCTTGTTTTCCTAGCATGTTGCCGTTTATTCTTACGCAGTTCTACCGATTTGTCATTGTTGTAAATTTTAAACTGTGAAATGTAGATAAGTTTCTTTTTCCACAGGGTGAGTCAAAAATGCGGAACCCAAACCTCCACAAATATATTTCATATAAAATATGTAGCACCAAAAATAATAATGAATGGAAAGCCAATTTCAAAAGCTACTTTTAGATGAAAAAATACTGAAATTTCTCAATCCGTTCAAATAAAATCACCATTTAAACCCAATGACCCTAAAACCTGTTTCGTCCAGAAAAAAAAGCAATTTATTGTGCAGTCTGACGGTTTGGAACAACAAAGAAAATGACACAGAATACTTGTTTTCACAAAATGTCAACAACTGTAGTACATAATATCTTTATTAACAATCGTGCTTAGGCAAATAATATGATTTGTAAAATCAACCTCTTTTAAAGGACGGGCCTTCAAAAGGACTTTGTTGAATATTTTCAACTTTAAACTGAGGTTTTATCGCTGGTGATGTTTGAAGACAATTGTGATGGCGATTCTTGTAACCACATTTTTGGACGAAAGAGGTTTTAGGGTTATTGCGTTTAAATGGTGATATTCTTCTAACGGATTGAGCAATTTCAGTAAGGTTTTTTTTCTATGGTGCTAAATATTTGTTTAAAGTATGAAATATCATTTTGGGGTTTGGGGTTTCGCTTCTTTTTTTTGACTCACCCTGTACAGTATCAGTGTTAGTCCCGTGTTATTTGAATTTAGAAAAGTATTGAATATTAAGTCAAGACTTATACTAAATCAAGAAAATAATTTTAAAATCTTTCATAGTTTTGTCACGAAATTAAAGTAATTTTAAATTAATGCAATTATGTAATTTTTAAAGTTTCTGTTTGCACAATAAATATTGTAAAATTCATAGAACAAAACAAAATATACAATAGCGGAGTGCTGTGGCCTCGTGGTTAAGGGCACTGATTCGTGGTCTGTGGGTAAAGCTGCAGGTTGTGGGTTCGAGTCCTGGCGGGGTCATGGTGCGTGTGCCCTTGAGCAAGGCACTTTGTCACTCATTGCTTCTCTCCACCCAGGAGTAAATGGGTACCTGTGAGGGCAGAGATGGTTATGTGATTGATTTAGCTTGCTTGCGCCTAACAGGCAGCATCGAGCTGTATACTCCCCAGGGAGCTGAGATGGTATTTGGAATGTTAAATTGGCCCAATGATCAGGGGTAATAATAAACTGTAAGCGCTGTGATTTAGTGTACTAAAAAGAGCGTTCTTAAATGCCGATTATTATTATTATTAATAGGCCTATTTGTAAATACGGTCCAGTCAACATGATAGGATTGCAGATATATGTCGGAACTGTTTCTCGAAAGAGTTTCAATTTTAATCGAATGGTAGCTTTAAGGATAAACTCATGACACTGATAATGAATTCGACAAAAAAGTTTATCGTTCAGTTCTTCAAAGAGGGAAGAGGTTGGCAGATAAGATACGTGTCTTCATTCTTTTCTTATTAGTGGGCCATTATGTAATCAATTTGCTCTAACAAAGTACAGTCCTTTTTGCCTTAAATTACATATGAGCAATTATATTCCAAAATTATATAAACCAAAGCCTTGAGAAACATTTTGTAAGAAAAATATTATAATTGACAAGTCATATTGTATTTGTTGTATAAATGTATAATGGAATGACTAGCGACTTAATCTTTTAGTAATTTCTTTGTATTTTTCCAATGTCAGAATCAAAGGTAGGCTTATCACCGAGAAATGCTTAGTGTTCACACTGAAAAGCTGAATTGATTATGTGGTTCAAAACATTAAATTACATGTACTACATGTTCGACTAACAGTAACTATTTACTTGTAATGTAGTGCAAGCAAAATGGGTTACACAATGGCACAGTCTAATATTAGTAATGCATGCTTAAATATATAAATGTAAAATTATATTTGCTTTTAAGATGTTTTCGTTGGAATAGCTTTAAGAGTACGTCTTGGAACAAAGCTTGATAAAACATATACAACAGTAGAATCTGAATTTGGTGAAAATTAACATGCTTTGTAATCGCTGTATTTAGCCTATGTATAATGCTACCTTGTAACTTGAGTCTAGTCATTAGGTCAATTAGCCATTACGTTCAAATTTCATTCGATTGTTCCTTTGTAAAGTATAAGTATCTCTTTTACTACAACGAGGTTGCGTGAAATCTTTGTTTTAAAAACTGATTAGTCTGTGCATTACAATGAGAAAACTCTTACATGTTGAGTGTTTCACTGTAAGGTAAAAGAGAGTTCATACAAGCTAACATTTAGACGGGATTGATGTGTATGTTAATTGGCAACAACTATAGGTTACAGGAGATGTGCACTGACATGTTTGTTTTTAAAAATGTCGAGGGCTTTCTTTGAAATGAAATGCTAATGAGCATTGTTTTCTTTAATTTTTCAAATGTGATATCACTGCAATGATATTTGATTTCGTATTAACTTCATCATTTAATTAATCCGCTCGCTGAAATAACTCGATATCAGTTTTAAATAAAGTATTGTTTTTTAAGGGTTTTTTAATTATATTTAAACAAGTGTACAAACACAGTTTTCATTAATCATACGAGATCCTAGCTTGTGTTGACAAATACTAGCATAGTTATACTGCTATGAATGCTTATAGTTTGACAACCGTGGGTATTATGCGAAGACATGAAAGAAGTGGGCTTTTGGAATGACAGAGTTGTGAGAAATTATTACTAGCCAATTTTGGTACCAAATTAGAAAAGTACTGTTTGAAACTGTTAGCAACGTCAGATGGGTGGTTGATGATGGAGCCGTTGTGATTGAATGACTGAGGGAGGAGGGCTTAGTTTGAGCATTCTTAGACCTAATAATATCCTTGAGAATCCTCCAAGTCATCTTCAGATTACTTTTATTTGCAGCTAGTTTGGTAGCGAAGTGGTTTTTACATGTTGTTTGTAATGAATTATGTTTGCTGCCATTAGTCTTACAATTGTTTTGACTGAAGGTAGGGACAACTGAGATAGTAATAAAGTAGTTAGTAGTTTCTAATTCCTCCTGCAAGACACAAGAACCGCATGGGACAGCCAGGGCTTTTTAGGTCTACTACCACTGATGTTGATTTTAAAAAGAGATTCCATGTATAATGTGTTTCTTTCAAGATCAGTCCTCCGAGTGAATGTAATGTCGTGCCTTACAAAGAGGCTACCCCACCTCCAGTACCTGTCTGACGGTTTTGTCCAATAAACAGGAATGCTTGGTGCCAGATCACTGTTTTGAAGCCAAGTGTGGTCAAGCATGAGGATAGCATCACGCAGATGACTGATTTTTAAACGCTTCTGACCTTTAACCGGTAAAGTGAGAGGAAAATGGTATTGTAGATGGTTTTAGCAATATCATTGAATTGATATTCAATGTCACTGTCAAAGGAAAGTCAGTGTCAGTACATTGTAGTACACCATTGAGAAATTTTACTCATTAATGTTTTCAATGAGCTAATTGTATTTTTTGCGCATACTACTATTTTTTGGTTATATCATTTTAATTATTTTACACTTTCTCTCGATACTCAACCATCTTGTGTTATTATGACGAACGATAAGTGGATGAAATTTCAATTAGTTACAACAGGTCGTTGTCGTCCAGAAACCAAGTACATTGTTTTCATACCGTGAAAGTTGAGTCAATTCGGGTTGCGTTTTGGCGCTTAAACCCTATTTTCTTTTGATTATATAACTTTTGTTATTTGACTTCTTCTCCCTTTTTCAAGAGAATTGTGTTACACATCACACTTAATTAATTTGTAAAATTTGGAGTCAATAAAACAATTTTTTTTTTAGTTATCGTTTGGTAACTGAGTGTGTTTTTTTTCCATATTAAGTTGATTTTAATTTGTTGTTTGTTTTGGTCAGCAGAGGGCGAGATACAAAAATAGTGGTCCCCTTCTATGGTCCCCTCCTTAAGAGTTTTTGTCACATTGAGAAAAGCAGGTATTCCTCTGTATTTCTCGTTCTAGTAAAATTCATATTGTTTGTTAAAAAAAAAACAATTTGATCGTAAGCTGCTTATACGGCTCGCACTGTCAGTATGGACGCCCTCTCGTGACAACGCAGACTTCCCAAAGCATTGTGGGTATTACCGCCATCTTTTCAAGTTGTGTGTCGAACGCACGAGGAAGTGTTTTGTCCCCAGTCATTGCAAGTTGAACAAAATTGGAACTCATCGTCCTTCTCAATGTCCGAGTATCTGGAACGAGATAAGGTAAGGTCTTATTAACCCTCCTAGTGCGAAGTCACTATTCAGAGTGAAATGAAAAACCCTTAAAAACCCCGCAGGTAAGTTTGAAGTGAAAGTAACTGTGTCACACAGAGAGTCACTGCAGGGCGCAGTGGAGTGTTACTGAATCTGCCTGTTAACACTGAGTTTAATAACACAGAGGATTTGTGCAGCGATTCGATGTGTTACTTATACTTCGTAGACTGAAGATTACATCAAGGAATTTGAAGTGCGGGCGCTACAACTCTATTAGCCCCATCAATGTGGCTTAACTACTGGACGTCCTCCGTATTAGTAAGCCACCCCGCCATGATACAAACATGTGTGGAAAGGTCGGTTTGGTAGCCGAAATTCAAATCAAGATTGGAATTTTTGTCACTTGGTTATCACCCTATCCATGCTGCTTATTAGCACACACACAAAAATTGCATCCTGAACTGCGAGGCCACGTGAGATGCAGCTTTAACTCTTCACGGAAAACTCTCGGAGAAGGATAATTACTTCAAGGAAACCTAAGCACAGTATCGGGCAAAGCAGAAAATGTAACCCACATGGGGTTTGGGTGGGTATCGAACCCGAGCCTAAGAGGTGGAAGACAAGGAAAGTACCACTGCACCGAGCTGACTCCCCGCATGGAGATAGCAAAGGTGGATATTAGTTACGCTCTCGTTACATTGGTAGTGTCATCCATTTTCGGATGTGCCTCAACCAAACCTAACTCTGTCCTGCTTTTGCGTAAAATTTCCAAATTACCACCTTCCTTACACGTTTACCATACCAGGTCTGGCCCAGGGTGTTGGGAAAAGCCGCCCAAACTCGTTGGCCTGTGGTCGCCACCTGAATGGTCGCCAGTCTCTCTGTGCTGGTCTGCTGTCAATCTGCGGTCAGTTGAGTGGTCCGTGGTCAAGCCAGGTAAGCCTTTTATAGGGTTTTCACTGTGTGCTGCTTGTGAACAAAAACAATCCTTATTGAACAAATATGACTGAAATAGGCCTAAACCTATCAGTTAGCTGTCAATCAAAACACTTTTCTATACATACAGTTTTGAAATAATGAAAAATATTTTTTTTGTAGTGAAACAAAACGAGATGGAGGTGGCGTTCAAAAAATCTTTGAAAGAGAAACTTGTAGTTTCTATGAAGTTCCTTAATAGTATTGTTGCTAATGCTAAGCACGGGCTCGCTTGGTGGCGCTATGTAATTCTGCACATGCACGCTGATACCATATATATTTTTTATATGTCTACATGGCTGATACTAGCTAGTGTGCATATATTTAATAGGATCGTTAAAAACATCTCGCTCCAATTGAAAAAAAAAGGATTAACGTGGCATCTATGTTTTGCTCATATTTCATTGTCTTATCAAGTGATGATGGATAACAGATATTTGACCGTTTATTTCGAAAGGGTACTTTAGGTGCAGCTGCTCGTTAATGGCGTGCGCCCTCTTGTGGTGGCTTGTAGTAGTATGATATTTTCCCCCAGACAAAAAAATATACTCAATCTGTTCCACTGGTCTCGAATGATGTAAACTTAAAATTGTTTCACGACTCCCCAATTCCTCGGTGTGGCAGACATGAAAATCTTACGTGAAAGAAACACATTAGTGAAATTTCGAGCAAGATATCTAAAACTATTGGGTATAATGAATCACTTAAATTGCTTCATCCCAAGCAAAACTTTGGTTATTCTTTACAATTCTTTTGGTTCTGCTGTATTTAAATGTTTGAGTTCTTAACTAGGCCATAATTTGTTTTCTAAATACAGTTTCAATGTATGAAGTGTCTACATGAACTCATGAATGTTACAGAGAAATAAAGAGTGTCCCCGATGAGGGCGCTCTATACATAAAGCCATTCATTTCCCACGAATTTCGGTATGTTTACTAATTAGACCACAAGCAACAATATAATCTAATTGCAACGGTAAAATTTTGCCTCCAAAGGGGGCTGTGACATTAGGGAGCCATGCAAATGTCCCCCTAATGTCCGATGTCTCCCATCGTGCGAAGAAATTACGATAACGATAAAAAGAAGTTGTCAAGTTGATCACATTGTACTTGTTAGTAGGTTGAATATCTTGAAGAGACTTTTAGTGATAATTGTAATTTCATATGAACAAGGTAAAAACTCTGTTTCTCTAAATTTTAAGGGCGGAAGGCTTCAAAATGAATACTTTAAACCGAGTGAATGTTTTGCATTTCTGCCATTTTCTTTCAGTATCTTAAATTTGAGTTTGTGTAATTTTGTGTAATTTGTGTATGGGGATTGGGTTGTGTTATTAATGCCCTTGGGGTGGGGAAGATTTTGGGGGGTTTTTTTACACTCGACGCCTTCGATGGGGTAGCATTTGGTCACTCTGAATGTGCCCCCGTGACATACAGTTCTCTTGAAACCCTTTATTGAGCTGGACTTATCAAACTGTAGACATTTCAATCTGCGACTTGATTTCTTGGTGAAAACATAAGGGCTTAAATGCCGGAAGAGAAAGTTGAGGGATAACATTAAAATTAAGTACTTTTCTGTTCTTTTGCAACATATTTGTAGCAATAGCAATCAATCCGTTTTTAATTATTGTGTTTGAATCTCGTTTCTCATAATGCTGGTATTTCTCCAGGTCAATTGCAGTTCATTTTACCATTGCCGTAGGCCTATTGCATGTTGTAGTATACCAAGCTATGTAGGCCTATACGCGTACGTCCGTGTTGACTAAAGGCTCAAAGGTGAATTAATTTGCATTGAATGGATGCAGAGCTAAGAATAAAATTGTAAACACTGTCTTGAAATCGCGTCATTTGGTAAGGAAAGTCCCCCACTGACTCGTAAACTTTGTACATCTTTGCAGCACAGCAGACCAAAACAAAACACTTCAGTGGGAACTTAGGAACACTTTTGGGAAAATCCAGGGCCCAATTTCATAGCGCTGCTTAACAGCCTATTTTGTGCTTAATACTAAGGCTACATCTATTTCTTAGAGACAGTCAGCAGTAAGCACAGCAAAGCACGCTTAACAACAGAGGAAAAATGTGCTTGAATCACTGACGTATTTGCCTGCGCAGCCGATAGCACGTCCACGCAGTGAAACATTGCTCAGCATGATTTTCTGCTAGTATTAAGCAAAAGTGTTTTGCTTACTGTTGATAACCATGATAACATGGTTGGGGTGAAAACAAAACAGCGGTGGAGCAATTTTGAACACTACAACTTCACGGGGGAGGGATCCTGCAGAATCACATACGACTAAACCAAGACAAAGTGTTGTACAGGACTTGAGTTTGAACAGACAATCGATTTACATTATTTTATAAAGGATGCGGGTAAGGCTGGGTGAAGTGGTTGAACACGGTAGAGGGTGCCGAGCCTACAGAAAACAAGTTCAACAAAAGGTGTTGGTAACGCTTAGTCACTTGTCAGTGGGTTGATCAGGCGCGGTTCTACGGGGGGGGGGGGGGGGGGGCTAGGGGGGCTGTAGCCCCCCCCCCCAAAAAAAAATTGTCTATCCCCCCCAAAAAAAAAAATTCCGTAAAAAAAATTGCGTTAGCAAAAAGAAGGATTGTGATGTACATGCGAACGGTCTCCCCCTAAAGAAGAAATAGCCGTGACAAGGGTGCATTAGTTAATACAGTGTGATTGATTTCAGGATTTTATTGGGGCTCCCCATTGAAAATATGGCATGAGCCAGCATCACGTACGGCACGAACACCAAAACAAAACACTTCAGTGGGAACTTAGGAACACTTTTGGGAAAACCCAGGGACCAATTCCATAGCGCTACTTATCAGCCGATGTTGTGCTTACCGAGCCGTATCTTTCATAGAGATAGTAAGCAGCAAGCACAGCGAAAGCACGCTTAACCATGAAGGAAAACGTTGCTGAAATCAGCGACGTAACAATAATATTCGTGCGCAGCCATTAGCACGTCCACGCCGGGAAATAGTGCTCAGCATGATTTTCTGCTAGTAAGCAAAAGTTTTGTGCTTACTGTTGATAACCATGATAACATGGGTTGGGTGGAGACAAAACAAGGCCGGAGCAATGATGGCACTACAACTTCGCTGGGGGGGGGGGGGGTCTCAAGAATCACATACAACTAAACTATAAGTCAAAATGTTGTACCTGGGAGTGACTAGATTTTGAACGGAAAATAGATAAACAAGTTGTAAAAGAGGCGGGTGTGGTTGGGTTGTGGGTTGAACTGTACAGCTAAATAGGGGTGATGTCGAAAACATACAAGTAATTACAGAAGGCAAATGTAACAAAAGAAGTAAGTAGCGCAAAGGCACATTGTACTTGTTAGTGGGTTGATAATTATCTTTAAGAGACTTTCATTGATATTCCTATTTTCAAAGACAAGCTTAAAATTCCTCTGTGTGTAGGGGGTACGTGGGGCATGCGTAGTGGGCAAAGCACATGACCTCCTACTGAAGGTGCCAAACTTCAGAGCTTTTAATCTGCGACTTGACTTCTAGGTGAAAGCGTCAGGGATTGCTGCCGGAAGAGAAAGTTGAAAGACGACATGAGGGTAAAGTACTTTCCTTTTCTTTTGCAACATATTTGTTGTAGCAATAATTGATCAAATAGTTTTTAATCATCGTGTTTAATTCTAGTTTCTCATAATGCTGGTAATGTAATATCTCCAGGCCAATACCAGTTCAATTTATGCCATTGCCGTATTTTCATGTTGTATTATAGCAAGCTGTATAGGCCTATACGCGTAGGCCTACATATTGACTAAAGGCTCAAAGGTGAATTGAACTTCATAGAGTAAATGCAGAGCTACGAATAACACTTGTAAACATTTGGAATCGCGTCATTTGATAAGGAAAGTCACCCACGGACTCGTCACCTTTGTACATCTTTGCATCACAGCATACCAAAACAAAACACTTCAGTGGGAACTTAGAAACACTTTGTGGAAACCCCAGGGCCCAACTTCATAGCGCTGCTTAGCAGCCGACTTTTGTGCTTACCGAGCCTAGATCTAGTTCATAGAGACCGTAAGCAGTAAGCACAGCGAAAGCGCGCTTAACCACGGAGGAAAAAGTTGCTTAAATCAGTGACATACAAGCAATAGAAAAAAAACGCCGTGCAGTGCTCAGCATGATTTTCTGTTATAGTAAGCAAAACCTGTCTGCTTACTGTTTAGCAGCGCTATGACATTGGGCCCTGTGGATGTATCTGTGTAGGTCTACCGGGGAAAAATGTAGTGGTATATCGATACGCGATTTGCCAGGATTTTAAAATAAAACAGCTTATATACTATGATTGTTATAGATTTATTAGGACTAGTTTGAAAAAAAAAATGAAAATGCATTTGTTTTGTTTTATTTCGTGCAATCTGCTGGCATACGGTAAAATGTCGAAACTGCTTGTGAATCATTAGCTCGCAAAGTTTGAGTCAACGCCATATAAGTACATTGAACCAGAGATTAATTTGTATTAATGTAGTTCCGTCAAGTGGTCATAAGATCGGTGGGCGTAGCATCTGCAGTGCGTCAGTGTTGTCTTGGATGTCTGTGAATCAACCCGCTCTGAACTTAACTGTAAGTTTGGCTACAGCCATTGCTCATTTCTTCCTTTTCTTTCAGTTTCATGGATTATAGCAAACGCCGAGTTACCCATTAAGAAGATTTACTGTTGCATATTTTTCCTATCTCACTTGTGACGGTCACTTGTGAGTTGTGATTTACTCTGGTCTTTGGGGAAGATTTACGAAGCTTCGTGTCACGTACCATCTATGCCACACGTGCATTAGTCTGGCGCCATTTCCTTCATGTATTTACGTAAGTTAAGTCTCCATGCGAACGGCGAGAGAGGTAATTGTCCGTTTCCGTCATGTGACCACGACAACTTACTCTACGAACTTTGAAGCCATTCTAAATCAATAGTGTATTCACTCCGGGACCAACTCGACAACGATTGTCTCGCCTTGGTTTTTTTTTTCAGCAGTCTTGGGTGTATACATACATTTAAAAGCTTAGTAAAATTAGTTACATGTTTACCTAAGAACAAAAAGTCGCACAGCTTCTCATCAGCCTAATCATTAACATGTAAGATTTCCGTTTGCAGCCGGGTGATCCAAAGTACCACGATGCAACAATCTGAAGCAGCATGCCAACGGACTGATGTCCCTACCACGATGCAACAATCTGAAGCAGCCTACCAACGGACTGATGTCCCTACCACGATGCAACAATCTGAAGCAGCCTACCAACGGACTGATGTCCCTACCACGATGCAACAATCTGAAGCAGCCTACCAACGGACTGATGTCCCTACCACGATGCAACAATCTGAAGCAGCCTACCAACGGACTGATGTCCCTACCACGATGCAACAATCTGAAGCAGCATGCCAACGGACTGATGTCCCTACCACGATGCAACAATCTGAAGCAGCCTGCCAACGGACTGATGTCCCTACCACGATGCAACAATCTGAAGCAGCCTGCCAACGGACTGATGTCCCTACCACGATGCAACAATCTGAAGCAGTATACCAACGGACTGATGTCCCTACCACGATGCAACAATCTGAAGCAGCCTACCAACGGACTGATGTCCCTACCACGATGCAACAATCTGAAGCAGCATGCCAACGGACTGATGTCCCTACCACGATGCAACAATCTGAAGAAGCCTGCCAATTGCAACGGACTGATGCTACCACAACGCAACAGGAGTATGTACCCAACCCCTCAGCTGCAACAGGCGAGTAGTAGCTAGACCACTTGGGCTCAATTTACGAGGGAGGGGGGCATACAATACACCTCCAATTAACTTGCCAACCTACCTCACCCCATTATGAGTCACAGCTTTTCAAGCACATATGACAACCAGAGATGAAATTTCGAGTAATACATCTTTTTGATCAGCCCCTTTTAAATGGTATGTTAATTCTTGCTTGTGATTGTAGATTCCCCACAACGAACTGGAACCATCGGAAACATCGGCACAGTCAGCGGTTACAGCCCTATCATTGTTGGTTCAAACGCGGTTAATATCACTTACAGCTTCCCGTTGGAAGGACCAGGTAAATATAATTTTGTTTGTTATGGTAAAAGTAGTTTGAGGTCTTAGATCAAATACTGATATTTTTGTGGGGTGGTTGGTATATTTACTACATAAACGTGGACACAAAAGGCAGATGTATGGGCAGTTCTGCTAGAGAGTCGCCTATTTTTTTATTCATCTACATGTATAAGCCAGTTCGTTGTGGACATAATAGGAAGGCGCTATTTCTAGTGGGTAAAGTCTTGTAAAAAGTTTAAATTTGTTCCTTTATGGGTACACCACAATAAATGGACCAAAAATTCGTCCGCAGAGGTCATAAATAAAGGATATTCACTCAAATTATTCTATAATAGAGAGTTTTGAGAGCCATAGAATTGGGGAATTGAAGACATGTGGCACTGTACCTCTGGCCTGGACTTGGGTATTCCAATTCTGTGCACTTTGGATGCAGTTGGATCTATTATAGCCATCTTATGGAGGGTTCCTCTTTCAAAATGATTACTTGTCCGGGGAAACATCGTTCGTTTTAGGGGTGGTCTTTGTGTGAGAATTTCTCAAAAGTCAATAGTCAACCCACCAAAAATTGAAAAGAAACTGACAGTTGACGGGTTGAACATCATTTTCTGTTCAGCCTGAACACCTGTGTGAAAGTTCTGAGCATTTGTAAAAGAATTTTGAAGTATGGAGATGTATCACTGGTGTCTATGGGAATTTTTATACATGTACTTTGTGTGCATCCCTATATACCCACGCCAAATAGCGCCCCCTGTTGTGTGTGTCACATTTAAAAAACAAGGCTAATAAAGCTTTATTGAAGTCGCACGTTCATTTTGCATAAATGAATGGAATAAAATGGGACTGTTGGAGGCAAAATTGAATAACCATGGTTGGTGGCGTGAGTTGCAGAGCAAAGGGAATTTTGTTTTATAGATTCGAACATTGCGATGGACTTCAACTTATTTTAAGTCAGAATTGAAGGAAACAGATATGTGTGATTCTGAGTGTAGTGATTACCACACAGATTAATGCTGTTAATCTATCTTGGGAGAGAGATTTCCAATCAATATTTTTGTACACCTGCAGTTACCAGTTTTTTGTCTTATTTTGTCGGTGTAAAAAGGTGAAAGCACTATATGGCAACATTTGACAAGTTTGCGTCTGACAGCAGTACAGAATCCAAAATATTTTTTTATTTATTTTTGGCAAATGTATTCGTGCACTGCACAAGTTTTTCTCCGTAAATGAAGATTTTCCAGTCCTTTTCAGAAATATTGTTTTATTGAAAAATACGTGTTGCTTGTTTTGATCTGAATAGGAGTGCCTGCACCTAGACCTCAGCATAGTCAGAGACCAGACCAAGAACCAAGGTTGACGGATCCCTGCCAAGAAGCTGGTAACAAGACTAGGGACATTTTGAAAGGAGTTTATACAACAACAGGCAGCTACGTGCAGTTGTTGCCTGGGGTTGATAATGACCAAATGCACATAGCTGGTATATACACTAAAGTACAGTTAGAAACGCTGGAAGGGGTAGCAGTTGTAACTGGCCAGAAAGGAGAATCTGTAAACTCAACAGAGTATGCAAAAATATTCAGATTAAGGACAAAAACTGGGGAACTCATCGAACGCCTCATTTTCTTTGGTATGGGAGGAGTCGGGAAGTCAACCATTTTTGATAAGATTGCATTTGATTGGACTGAGGGGGAAAACGAATTCCTTAAAAGATTCAAGCTTGTCTTTCTTTTAAAGATGTGTGCTCTGTTCCAGGAATCCGATCTTGTTGATTCCATTTTAGATCAACTTATAGACGAAGATTCGGGAATAGCAAAAGATCAGCTTGATAAATTCATCCGAGCCAACCAAAATGAGGTCTTGGTTCTTTTGGATGGGTTTGATGAAATGGAGACCAAAACACTCGATGCAGACTCATTCGGTTCTATCCTAAAAGCACTCAATAGAAGAAAATACCGTCAATGTTGCATCTGTGTATCAACGCGCCCCTCTCGTCTTGAGACACTGATGTCAACATCACTTGTCCAAAATCCTTGCACACACGTGGAGGTTCTGGGGTTTACCGACGACGATGTTAAGGAATACGTTCGGAAATTCTATGAAAAAACGGATCTTGATATTGGCAAAGCACTAATCCAAACCATCGGAAAGTCAAACACGCTGCGTGATTTTGCTACAAATCCGATGTTGCTACTTCTTATGTGCTTATTGTGGAGGGAGAGTCAACAACTCCCAGAAACAACTTCACGCCTCTTCGCTAAGGCAGTTAATTACATGTTCACAAGAAAAGGCGAAGTCAAGAAGAGAGTTCCGGATCCAAACGTATCAAAAACATTGAATGCAATTGGACAAACTGCGCTTCGTGGACTCATGGATGCCAACCAGAAATTCTCATTTCAAAAAGACGAGTTTGAACCAAAGTCACTGGACTTAGCACTAAAAGCGGGCATCCTAACACAGCAGAGAGTTATCAAAAATCTTGAATCCCACAACAATATACAGTTCATGCACAGGACCATGCAGGAATACTGTGCTGCGAGATACTTACTGAGTACACGTATGTCGAACCAGGGACTTTTAAAGCGTATGTTGTGCAAAGTTGTACCATCTCAAAAATTTGAAAACACTTTAGGGCAACTTTGTCAGACAATTGACGGCGTCGTTTCAAATGAGTTTCTCGTTCGTTTTTGTTGTGGTGACAATGAGAAGTGCATGACGGACATCGTAAACTTGCTTGACCGTAAGTTCAATAAAGATGAGTCCAGGTACCAATCAGATATAGTGCAGGCGATATGTCGAAACTGCTTCTTTGAAAGCCAATCAGCAAGGGCCCCACGGTGTCTCACCAGCGACTCGCATATCCCATCAAATATCACTGTGGGTAACAGTAATGAATTTCGCAGTCTCACATACCTTCTTGAAGTCATCTGTAGGTCAGACAGCCGCACAGAACAACTGGCACGCGTTGAGACTATTCAGGTTTTTCGCGTGACTCGATATCCGGTCAGTGATTTAGCTGTCGCCCTGGGTTACATGGAAAACCTCAAGGATTTGAGGCTTAAGCAATGTCATTTAGCGAAGGGCGATCTTGAGAAAACCACGTCGTCGGTATGCAGCCAAAGCTTGACCCGTCTTGACATAGAGGATGACAATACACTGGGAGGTAGAGCTGTAGAGTGGGCCCCTCATATCAAACACTTGGCAAGCCTAGAAAAACTTCAAATAAAAAGCTGCGAACTACAGGGAACAGATATTAAACACATAGCTTTGGCTGTAGGTGACATGCCAAATCTGACTGACTTGATCCTTGATGAAAACCAGACATTGAGCGGATCGGCTGACTCGTGGAACAAAGAAATGCCGACTCCAATAACGCAGCACTTAAAAAGGCTGAACCTCAGCAAATGCAATTTGACGTGGAAAGACTTTGAATACATTGCCTCGGCTGTAGGTGACATGTCCAACCTGACTGACTTGATCCTGTATGGCAACCGCCGATTGGGCGGATCGGCTGGGTCTGCCAAGCAATTGCCGAAAATGACGCACTTAAGGAGGCTGGACCTGGGCGGCTCCAATTTGGAAACGACAGACATTGAACACATTGCCTCGGCTGTAGGTGACATGCCCGAACTAACTGACTTGGGTCTTACTTTCAACGGGACATTGGCCTCCTCGGCTTTGTTGTGGGCCAAGGAACTGCCAAAAATGAAACACTTAAATAGGCTGGACCTGACCTATTGCCATTTGAATGAGACGGACATGAAACACATTGCCGCGGCTGTACGTGACATGCGCGGACTGACAGACTTGAACCTTAACGGCAACTGGGTATTTTTTGATTTGGATGGGTTATTGTCCAACTTTCCGTCGCTCCGGGGTCACGTGAAAACTTAAACTCTATTTCGTTTCATGTAAAACGTTGGGTAGGCCTAATGATACATTTGGAAAATGCGAATAACCCAAATTAGGCAAAGTTTGTGAAACCTTTGGTCAATCCCTTGTGAATTGAATCAATACTGACGCACAAAATGCTTGAAGCTTTTGATGTGTCAGTCAGCCAAATATTGGGTGAAATTTTACGATGGGATTGTTTTTACCCCAACTGAGTTGGTTACGAGTTTTGTTTTTGGTTGGGCACATAAAAAGGTCTATTATCTTGTAGCCCATACAGGTTGCGAAGTGTTAAATTCGTTGAAGTTGGTCATTTCTGGTAGCATTTTTGGTCATTCAATTAATGTTTAACATGTTTTAGCAATGCACACTGTCCTAAATTGGTGAATAAGGATTGGACACACATTAAAACAAATGAGTTTACTGTAATTACCCAATTGTGATTAGTTTGTTTTCAAGCTTTGAATTGCCCATCAACAGGCCATTAATTTGAATGCCGACAGAAAAGCGAAAAATTGGCGAATTTAAAGTTTCAGTTGTCCACAATGCAGCTAATTAGAGTGCTCAAAGTTGAGATGCATATCACCTCCTCCATGAAGTATTCAAACAATACTCTATGTTTCAATGTGCAAACAACGAGAGTCCGATACCATTGAGTTGGCTCATCCAAAATAACAGAACGAAATTAAACTTTTGTTATATCGAATTAAAATGAAAATTTCCGAAACGAAAAACACTCAACGGCCATTTTCGAAATCAAAAATATTGTAATTTTATGCAACTTGGCGAATTTCGATGCTTTGCTCTCCTTTTGCCGCATAAGTATTCTTACTTTTTGTAAGTGAAGACACATTTCGTGCGCGGTGTCACGCACATGGCATTAACATTAACGCGTAGTTCGTCCAAGATGTCCAACCACCTACCGCGAGGTCTAATCTTTTCAGTTCCACTTTCAATTGTTCCTTGTATTAAATGAAGACACATTTCGCACGTGGTGTCACGCACATGGCAAAGAACAAACATGTAGCCAGTCCAAGATGTCCAGCCACCTACTTCGTCTAAAAGTCCTGGGTCAGATTGACCCAGAATCTAATCTATATCTGCCCAGTCCTTTTTCGGTCAAAAATGACACTTTTCTTGGTCAAAATGAATGTATAGACAAATGTCATTTTTGACCCGGAAAGTGTCATTGTTGACCCGGAAAAGGACTGGGCAGATATAGATTCAGATTCTGGGTCAATCTGACCCAGACGTTTTTAGAGTGTTTTAAACCGCTAGGTCTAATCTTTTCAGTTCCGCCTTCGGTTTTTTCGGCATGTATTTGAAATAGGTTGTCAATTTTGCTTCAAACTTGAATCAATTTCTGTTTTGGATGTCTGGTCCCATTTTAAGTCTTCGGAAGACCACAAATTAATTCACCTGCAGCCCGTTGAGCAAACACATGGTTACAAGATGGTCAACGCCTTTCCCCCAGTTTCTTAGTTAAAAAAGACCTTCTAAAATGCGATTAGGCAATATTCATCAAAAGATGTGAAGTTGATATTTACACACCAACTTGTTTAGGCTGAGAAATTTGGCAAAACTTTCAAAATTTTAAACTTGTGTATGAAATCAGGGACTTGTGCAAATTCCAAAGAACAAAACAGATCATTAAAAAATGTGTCATTCTAGGATGCCTGTTTGTAAATTCAGACATAAACGCCGTAACACATTCTCGATTAAGATCGTCAGCAAAGTCACGCAGCGTGTAAGACAATTAACTCATTTAGCTGGTCACCCTATAGTTTGTTATCCAAGTTGGAGCTGCTCTCATAAAAGTCCAAGGGTCAGATCTGACACCCCCCCCCCCCCAAATTCGGGTCAAATTGGACCTGACACTCTTTTGGGTCAAAATGACACTTTCCTGATCAAACGGCCATCATCTGTGTCAAAATGACAATTATCTGCGTCACATAACTGCAAAGGTGACTCACAGAAGTGTCATTTTGAGCCGGAGGCGTATCATGTCAAATCTGACCCGGATTCGGGTCCAATCTGACCCGGGACTTTTTAGAGTGTATAAATGATCTGCCGATTGTGCATCTGCAAACATTTTGAGCAAACATTGTCTGCAAACAAAATTATGATAGGCCTCGAATCTGTACACGTGTGCAAGGAAATATAGTCGATACACAGGTGATGCATGGTACTCGTTGATTTCTTATCAAACACTGAGGCTGCATGGGTGGTTTGGTCCATTTCCTTCACCGTGAAGTTCAAACTTGTTGACCCGACAACAATTGTGTTTACGTATAACGTTATAACAATTAGTGCGTTTTTAGGGGGATTAATCCAACAACTGATGATACATGTACATTTTTGTGAATACAATTATATTTTTTAAGATTGGTTGGTCTGAAAATTATGGTATTAGTGTAAAAACGTTGAAAACCAACCACCAACTATAGAATAATGTAACAACACCGTCAGTAGTGTAAATAAGATTGTATTTTTGTTTTAAAGAAACATGATTATTTTATATATTGATTATATTTTGTGTAAAAACTTTGGTGCTACGATTTGTGTGAAGATCACTTTTTAGTACTATACAAGTGATGCAGTAACTGTTGAAGGGGAAAGGAGGTTTCATTGGACAACTGTATTCAGCGAGATATTTGTTCTCACTGAACTACCAAAATGTGGGTAAGACACTTTTGACATAATTTGGATGAAATTAAGTGTGATGTCAAATGTATATTTTGCAGAATGCAAAAACGTCGAATGTTTGACTATATTCATGACATTCTTTCAATTGCAAGATAAGTTACTCAAAAATTTAAAAATTTCTCATGAGCAGATTATGTTGTTTAGCATTATCAGTTTTCTTTTCTCTTATCACACATTAATACTTTCAAAAACTGGACAATTCTCTTTTTGCAAGAATGGAGTAGATGTATGGATTGCATTCTGGTTCCATTAATCCAAATACATCATGTTTGTATCTCACGATTGTAGTGTGATCGATCATGTTGTGCCCATTGTATTATGTTATGTTGCATTATACCTTAAAGCGCTCATGCAATGTAAGTTTTTAATGCAATCATTAAAAATGCACCTTTTACAAGGGTGTTTGGTGCCTTTGGGTTTTTTTATGCTAATGCAAATTTCCATATTCATGTGCGAAAGTGAGATGTCATCAGAAACCCTATGTTGCAGCAGGTTTGAGCACCAAAAGTTGCAAGAATATTTTGATATTTCGCTGTTCTTCATTTCGTTAAATATTTGTTGTGTCAGTACACGGGGTAGTACACAAGGAAACAGTTTTTCACAAATTTCAATGAGCTGCATGGTTGTATTTTTTGCGCATACCACAATGTATTGGTTATATCATTTTAATTATTTAACAATTTCTCTCGATAATCAACAGACTTGTGTTTTAGATATAAGACGGACGATAATTGGAAGAAATTTCATTTTGTTACAACTGGCATTTCTCGAGTTGTCCGAAAACCAAGTACATTGTTGTCATTCAATGAAAGTTGACTTCAATTCGAGGTGCGTTTTTCGCGCTTAAAATACTATATTCTTTTGGTTGTATTATATTGGTAATTTCACTACTTCTCCCAAATTTCAACAGAATTGTGTTTCACTTCACACTTAATCAATTTATGAAATTCTGAGTCAATAAAAGAATTATTTCTTGGAAACTAAGTGTGTTGTTTGTTCCAAATAGGAGTTGACTTTAATTTGTTGGGTTTTTGTCAACAGAGGGCGCGCTAAACAAATAGTGGTCCCCCTCCTAAAAAAAATTGTCACAAAAAGAAAAGCAAGCATTTCTAGAAATGCTTGACACACTGTTTGTATCGCAAGCAAGATTTCTAGAAAGCTACTTTTAACTACAAGTTTCGTTTCTGTTTTATTGGCTAGTTTAGTTTAACTAATAATAGCTAGACATGGTGAGTTACAGATCGCTAGTAAACGTTTACTTTTTAAGGTCGAAATATGACAAGCCTTTAATTTGTATAGAAAAATCCAAAAGATGATTGGTTAACTTCTTAAATAAAAACGACTGTCATACAATAGAGAGGTAGTGTGTACATTATGACTCTTAAACTGTTCTTGCTTTGATATATGGACCCTCCTGCGTGCTCCAAGATCCAACAATCACCTATAGGAACCCACTGTCCTTCGTGATCGTTCGAAGAGGCATCTCGCCAAGTGTAAACTAATGGTATAGCTGGGTACTTTCTCCCAACCTTTTGCCAAACTATCCCGGATGCCAAAAGTAAAATCTAAGAAAGTATCTCACAGCAAAACGGTCAAAATCAAAATGCACCCAAACGCAGGATTAGACTAATATCGATTTATTTTACTATAATTGCCAATTGTTCTATAGTGAAGCAATTTTGATAAGATATTTTCATATGTAATTTTAGAGTATACTCTTCCTGCTTCTTTTGGTGCCAGTGCAGTTTCACTGGATTAGTTTTCGTGCATGACCTCACAGGAGACAATTAAGGGGTCGGGTGAAATCTGACTTGCGCAAATTGGTCAGGACTGGATAAGAAAGAGACAATTAAAAAGAACACGACCATTGTCATGGTTGTGGTCAGTGGATTGCATTGTACTGGGTGAGTCAAAAAGAAAGTGACCCGGATTAAAAAAAGAAAATCTTAAAAAGCAATCAAATTTGATACATAAATGAAGTACATGCATGTCTTAAAAGAGCATGTTCTTCCACTCATCTGAAAAAAAATCGATTGATCCAAGCCATCAGAGGTTATGCATGTTTACTAAACGGACCCATTTTTATAACTGTCCATGGAATGCGATTGGAAGCTGAGCTAAGTGAGAATTACAGATAACACACAAGCATTCAACTACAAATGAGATTTTAATAGTTGAAATCACGACTGGAATATTATTTTTACCGTCAGATTTTGTGTTTTAAATATGAGGAACATGTCAACTCCCCCCCCCCCCCGAAATATTGATGGGGATTTTCTGTATGTTTTCCTTTGTAAGTTCTCGTTCATTCATCGATGTGGGAAAACGTCCGTTTTTCATTGTACTTAATGAGTATTCATCAGTAAATGATCAGTGGTGGACAGCTGAGTTTTGTGACCTGTTTATTGAAATAGACATAACTTGGGAATAGAGTATGCAAATTACGTGATTTTTTTTTGTTTTTTACAGTTAAAGGTCAATAACATGTACTTTATCCCTATTTTTTATGAAATGGAGCAAGCCAAATATTGTTAACAATATGTTTCAAATTCGGTCACATTTCTTTTTGACTCACCCTGTAATAAGCCTGAACCACTGAAGTGAAATGCAATCGCTTGGAAACTGATTTTGAATTGTAAGATCACACCCTGAAAAACGGAATAAAATGAACACAACAGTAGTTGAATGCTTGATACTGTGACGTGAAGTCAAATATGGTTGAAGTAGAATGGAGTCTGAGGCCTTAAAAATGTTCAGCTTCTAATTCCTTCAATTGGATCTTAAGCTGCTCAAGGCCTTGCACTGTGTTTATTGAAGGGCGGCCTCTAGTGACATTGCAGACTTCCCAAAGCATTGTGGGTATTACCGCCATCTTTTCAAGTCATGTGTCGTACGCACGAGGAAGTGTTTTGTCCCCGGTCGTCGCAAGTTGCACAAAATTGGAACTCATCGTCCTTCTCAATGTCCGAGTATCTGGAACGAGATAAGGTAAGGTCTTGTTAACCCTCCTAGTGGGAAGTCAATATTTAGAGTAAAAAGAAAAACCCTTAAAAACCCTGCAGGTCAGTTTCAAGTGAAAGTAACTGCACAAGAACCAGCACTGTAGGGCGCAGTGACGTGTGACTGAATCTGCCTACTAACACTGAGTTTAATAACACAAAGGATTTGTGCGGCGATTCAAAGTGTTATTTATACTTCGTAGACTGAAGATTACCTCAAGGAATTTGAAGTGTGGGCGCTACAACTCTATTAGCCCCAATGTGACTTAGATACTGGACGTCCTCCGTATAGTAAGCCACACCGCCATGATACAAAATGTTTGGAAAGGTCCGTTGCTAGGGTAGCTGAAAATCAAATCAAGATTGGATTTTTTGATAATCACTTGATAATCACCCTATCCATACTATGACTGCTTATTAGCAAAAAAAAAACACATTGAATTCTGAACTGCAAAGCAACGTGACATGCAGATTTAACTCTCAAGGAAACTCTTGAGAAGGATCATTACTTCAGGGACAGCAGAGAATCGGGCAGGGCAAAAAACGTAACCTGAAAACATCATTGATTTCAAAACCTAGTACATGTAGATGCATGGTACTCGTTGATTTCTTATCAAACATTGAGGCTGTATGGGTGGTTTGATCCATTTCCTCAACAAGTTGAAACTTATTAATTAGCCAAATAACCTAAGTATATAATTATGTATAACGTAAATGACAATGAGTCTCATTTGAGTAGTTTGGGGATTATTCCAACTACTGTACATATTTGTAAATAGTATTACATAGACGCGTTGGCCAGACAATTGTATATTTGTGTAAATACGTTGAAGAAATGATTATCATTTTGAGTAGTTTTGGGATTACTAAAACCAAATTGTTTTTGTTTTTTTAAGAATGTTCCCTTTCATGTTTTGTATAACTTTGGTGGGAAGATCGATGGGAAGGTCGGTTTTAAAAACTACTAGGCGATTGAATAATTGTTTTGTCCTGGACCCAGCATTGACGGAGGAGGGGCTGGTTGCCTACGGAACTGTATTCAGGATAACATGTATATCCGTTGAAAATGAATCAAGCGTGATGTCACATTCACTGCAGTACGGTGACAATTGCAGCAGCTAAGATGATAAAAGATCACTTTTATTAACAAAGTTCTAAATTAGCGAACGTCGGTGCGCATTATGACGTATTACCATGCTTTTCTTATTCGTTTATTCGCAATCATTTTCATCTTTTGGTCATTCAAATTAATAAGACTTTTTAATTGATATATTTTCTTATTTTCCTCCGAGGTTCGTTTTGTTCCTTCAAATATTTTTGACTGTAACAGTTATAATGTAACAAATTAACTGATATCATGAGGGATAGGTGATGTAACGAAATCATGAAAAGAAAAGGGCTAAGGATTTTTTTGTTTTCACTGTTGATCTGTTCTACTTGCTTAAAAGTTTGAAAATGTATAAGAGGCAAAGCTGATATGTTACTAATCTTTTAACCGTTGACTTTGTTAACTGTTCTTTTTCTCGGTTTCTATGCTAATGCAAAGTTCCATATTCATGAGCAGAAAGCTCAATATAACCCGGCTATTTCAGCACAAAACGTTGCTAGAATGTTGGATATCATGCTGTTATCAATTTCTTTTCTTTGGCGATTAGTTCTTGTGTAAGTTCAGTAAGCCAATGAGCAAACCTTTCTCACAAATGTTTTCAATGAGCAAATGTTGGGGTTCACAATGTGAGCAGAAAACCCCTAAACTGAACAGTGTCTTCCTGAAATGGCATCGCTGCAGCAGCGCCCTCAGCTGTCCATGAAAGCATGAAAGTGCACTTTGCAATATGGTTAACCAAAAAAAGGATGTCAAATATAGTTTTCATACATTTAAGAGGAAAAAAAGTGGAAAGTTGCACAAAATGTATTTCTAAGAAAAATTCATTGCACAGACTCTTTAATTAATAAAAGAGAGGCGTGCATTTACGGATTGAAGACGTCTCATATGATTTATGCTGAGATAATTCAGAATTTTATAGGAATTCGGACACATGCTGGAAGTCTTAAAAGATGCTAGATAAAATGTGAAATATGTTTGCCCATTAATGAAAATGAAAACTCGATCAACTGCTGGTTCGGACGAAATTGAATGAATAATGCGAAGTAAAAAAAAAAACATGTTTAGCGTCCCCGCCCGCTTCCTTTTTAGAGGCCGCCTCCTTTTCTTTTTTTTTTTTCTTTTTAAAAGACAAAAATTGATAAATTTTAACGATCTCTGACGAAAAAAATCGTATTTTTAGACTTTTATACCGTGTATAAAGCTGTGGAAATAGTCAATGAGTCCAAGTGGCGGCCATTTTGAAAAAAGCTGGTAACCATCTTGAAAAATAGCCCGGCCGCGTTGTCTTGAAAAATGTGTCGGGCGGCCATTTTGAAAAAAAAAAAAAAAAAAAGGGCCTCCTCCTTCCTTTTTGTCAAAGAGGCAGGACGCTAAACATGTTTTTTTTTTTTTTTTTGCCTAACACGACACTTTTAATCTGAATGCATCTTTTACAGGGACGAGTAAAGCTAAAACCCGATATAGAATGCTCGGATAGTGAAATTGAATGATTCTTTTTGATTGTCGAATGACGATCTGCGTGATCTTTCCATTTCAATCTAAATCAAATGAGCCAGGCGTTAAATTGAATAAAAACTTTGTGAAATTGGCCGGAAAAACTATTAAAACTAAAAACTGCGGAAAATTCTCCGTTTTTGATATATGGTCTGCACTCTGGTTCCATAAAATAATCAATACATCATGTTTGTATCTCAATTGTTTCTTGTGATCGATCATTTTGTGACAATTATTTTGGGTTTTGTTGCATTGTACCTTAAAACATGTTTTGTTTTGTTTTGTGAAAATCGAACCCGAACAAAATAATTCCCACATTTTTTGCAAATTTGAGTCACGGACTCACGGTCAGTCACCTTTCATTTCAACAATGTTACATGATTCACAAACTTCGCTGTTCACCATTTTAATTGTAAAATACACCTGTCAAGAGCGGATCCGGGGGGGGGGCAACGGGGTCATGCCCCCCCCCCCACAAAAAAAAAACACACCGAGCCCAATTGGGTTTTTTTTAAGTGACGTCGCAAAAATTAAAAAACAGCCATTGCGTACACCACCATCTTTTGCTCGAAAAATGGTTAAAGTGGTCAGAAATTGCCTCAGATCGCACCACAGAGTATTTAAAATCTATTTTTCTCGGGGCCCAAACTCCTGTGTTCGGGATCGATCCGCCCTTGACAAGTTGACACAACCTGTTTAGTAAAGGGTTCGTTTTTCCTTTTTTTATAAAGATTAAAAAACGGTAAATTGGTAAAGGTTTCCTTTTTCTTTATACGATTTAAAACGGTAATTGATTGGACGGTATGAACACGGACAGTCTCAATCTTTGCAAAGAAAACTGAACTTGAAGTGATGCGCGAAAGTGACAGCAGCTAGCTAAACATTGTGATTGCCGCGGGCGCCCTCAACGATGCGTTCCCATCCTGCCTCGGGGGAAACTTCGCTTTTCGTTTTACAGTTTTGTTGAATAATACGATCACATTCTCGTATAGTAAAAGTTGGTCCGGTAATTCTGCCTCAACTTATACTATAAGCCTCAACTTATACATCACAAGGCTTGTGATGTATCATGTGATAATGTGCGCAGGTGCGCACGCTCAGAAGGCTTCCCCAGAGGGCGCCCTTGCTGATTGACAGCTGATCATAGCGCACGCTCAGAAGGCTTCCCCAGAGGGCGCCCTTGCTGATTGACAGCTGATGAACTGAGGGGGTTCCCCGGTTAATTTCCGGGAAACCCCATTCGCGATTTCCAATTCCAAATGGTTCGAATCTTGCTCAAATTCGACAGGTCTAAACAGGTACAGATACAGATATTCTAAGGTAAGTGGACATTTCGTATTTGTATTTAATCAACAAACTGACAGAGTTTCGTCATGCATGTTTGAACAGGTAGGCCTTATGCTTTGAAGACATGAACATGATCATGTAAAATAAAACCTACGCACTGGTGGTAGACTGCTTGAGTCTTGTGCTGAAACATCCAGTAAGGCAGTAGGCTAGTGAAGTACATGATGATGTATTACTATTTTTTTTTATAATTTAATGGTGATCGTGTAGTTACGGGCCCCTCTTTAGTTTCCTTTTGCTGCGTCAGTGGCGTGGGTGTGTTTGAAAAACTGCTAAAATTATTGGCAAGTTTACCTATGAATAAATAACACATTTTACTGTTGTTCATTTATCCTGAATCCTCCTATTTTTGCGCAGATAAGGCTTTGCAACCAAGTATCTTAAAAATAGCAAAGCAACCACTCTTTTCCTCAACAAAACTTATTTTGTTGGCTTACGATCATCCACCATACCGATTAACAAAGCAAAATCTCTTTATTTGTGGCAGCTATCAGGGAATTCCAAAGCGTGTAGTTTTGGCATTGTAGAAAAGAATCCTGCCTAATTCTGCACAGGGGACACTTGAAGAAAAATATGTGCTGTCCGGACCATGTATATGTAACTCAATTTATAAACATTTTTTTTTAATAACTTAGACTTGTTGGCTTTAGGAAAATATGTTTCCTGAGTTTTCAAACACATATTCTTTTTCAATGCCAATACACTTTTTGTAATTTCAAGATTATTTTCAATATCCCATTTTGGAGATTTATACAAAGGCCTATATGTATCATAGATTTTAAACATATTTACCTATTAAATGTAGATCCCAATGATATTGTTATTCTGATCATCCCAATCAACAGAGACAGTTTTTAAGATGTCGGATTTTAAACTTTATGATAAAAAAAAATCCAATATAATAGAAATGTGTCTTTTTAGTTGAACCGTAAGTTTTACACCTTTGTAGCTATAGAAACGACAAATTCTTATCTATGCCATCTTAACTATAATACTGACGATGTTGGGAGACCAAGAAAGGTCACCTTTCGGTCATATTTTCGACTTCTGCAGGCCCAGGAGCATCTGCCTGCATTTGTACTTGATAAATTAGCAGTAAAATGCCGATGTTTTTCATTTTTTGCCTGAATTCCTAGTAAAGTATACCATGCAACATATGTTGCCCCAAATGTAGTAAAGCCTTCAATTTCCACATCTTTTCCGGCTGCTGATTAAAGTTCAAGCATCAAAGGATACGATCCCAGTGAAAGTACATATATGTCATTTTTTAGGATGCATGCCTTGCAAAATATAACTTGAAGGTGAGTGCGCAGAAATAGGAGCGCGTAGCTTTAGGAGGTCTGACGATATAGGTAAACTTGCCAATAATATTAGCAGAGTTTTTAACACACCCACGACAACTGATGACAAGGCAAAAGGAACCTCTTTTCCAGTGGAACATGTTCTTCTAATTTGAAAATAAACGAACTGATCTTTTGAGGTTTGATAAATTTCAGCGCACGTTTTATTTACACGTACACTAGACAATAACAGCTTTATTTCAGCTTTTCATTACTTAATCATTGACAAACAGGGCTTCCATTTGTGGCCGGCCGGGTGATCCAAAGTACCTACTTCTAGAACTACCAAAGTACCATGGATAAACAACCTAAAGCAGCCCCCTCAGCCGCAACAGGTGAGTACGTAAACTGAGCTGGTTGCTTGGAGTCAATTTATAACCTTACTGGGGAGTGGAGGGGCATTCACCACCCCACCCCACCCCCACTACCCTCCCCCCCCCCCCCCCCCCCCCCCCTCCTCAATTTATTTTTTGAGTCATAGCCTGCTTTTTCATGTACTTTGACTTTTTCTATCAATGGTCAGATGAAAAAAATATATACAACATTTGCTTTTGCTAGAATTTTCAGAAATAGATGGATTTGGGGGCAAGTAGGCCTATGTTACACTGACTTGTTTGAAGTTCTGTGTTTGTAGAAAAACCAAGAAAAACCATCGTGCTCTTTTAGTCTGGTTCCCTGACCCCAATTAAATTGAAACATTTGGAGCGAACTATAGATATTTGGGAATTGTAAGGTCATCAGGGAACCAGTCTAGCTGGCTTGTACCTGTTTGTGGTGTGTTATTGGTTGCAAACAAAATTCAGACTAACTAAATATGGTAAATTGGGGGCAGTATTTGAAGGAACAAAAACAGTGGGTTTTTTTTCAACGTCGGTCGGCTGACCAGCATTGGAAATTAATACAAAAAATGCCATTTTGTTGAAAATGTCAGCATAGGCCTACCAGGTGCCATGATTTTACAGGATGCTTATTAAACCGTCATTCACTAACAGTCAACTAAGGTATTTCATAATAATTTGGTAGCTTTGTTTTTTTTTATGTTTGAAAATGTTGTATATTCCCTTTAAAGGCAATGTTATCCAAGTACAGATGACAATCGGAGAAGGAATCAAGTACATGTATCATTTGAAAGGATATTTTACTTTTTGCTTCTGCCTGTAGGTTCCCCACAACCAACTGGAAACATCGGAAACATCGGCACAGTCAGCGGTAGCAACAATCCTATCATTGTTGGTGCAAGTGGAGTTAGTTTCACTTCTTACAACTACCCGATGCAGGGACCAGGTAAATATAACCTTGTTTGTTATAAAAAGGAATGTAGAAGACTTTTGCTGTAATTTTCAGAAATGAACTATTTGAGGGGTTAGTATAGTAGATCAAATATTGTTACACTGACATGTTTGAAGTTTTGTGTTCGAAAAATGCTGGAATAACCAAGAAAAACAAAAATATGCAAGTAGTCTGGTTCCGTGACTCCACTCAAGATGAAATGGATAAAAAATACCGGAAAAATTGTAAGGTATGGGAACCAGTCTAGCTGGCCTGCACCCGTTCATGAACATGGAACCAATGGCCAGCAAAATAATATTTAGACTAAAGAAAATGGTAAATTTGGAGCAGTAATTGAAAAATAGTTACGTTTTTCCAAGGGTGGTCGGCCGACCAGCGTTGGAAATGTATACAAATATACCATTTTCTTGAAAATGGCTTTACACCAGGTGCCATAATTTTACAGGATGCTTAAGCGTGTCATTTACCAACATCATAGTAAGGTATTTCGCAAATGTTGTATTTTCCCTTTAAACATGTTCAACGGAATATACAATATTTGCAAACATCAAAAAACAAAACTACCTAATTATTGTGAAATGCCTTACTGGACTGTTAGTAAATTATGACAATCTAAAGCATCCTGTAAAATCATGGCACCTGGTGTGCTGTCATTTTCAAGAAAAGTGGTATTTTTGTATCAATTTCCAACGCGAGTCGGCCGACCAGCATTGGAAAAAGCTGGCTTTTTTCAAATACTGCCCCTAATTTACCATATTTAATGAATTTTGTGTGCAATCGGTTACACACCTATGAATGGGTAAAAGCCTTATGGACTGGTTCCCTGACCTTACAATTTCCCGACGTCTATAAATTGCTCAATTTCAATTTAAGTGGGGTCAAAGAACCAGACTACAAGATAAACATGATTGTTTTCTTGGTTTTTCCAGCATCTATGAACACAAAACTCCAAACAAGTCAGTGTAACAATAATTTGCTATAAAATACTAATCCCCCAAATCTATCCATTTCTGAAAATTACAGCAAAAGCAAATGTTGCATATTCCCTTTAAGATAAAAGCAATTTTATATCTAATGAAGTGTTAATGAACTTTTAATTTTTTTGTTTTGGTGGGTGGGGGGGGGGGGGGGGTGGTATACTACACAAACGTGGACACAAAAGACCGATTGCTGGTTGTGCAAGCTAGAGAGTCACCAATTTCTTTGGTACAACTATAAGCTAGTACATGGTAGATACAATAGGAGGGCGCTGTTTATGGTGGTTTTAGTCTTGTAATTTGTTCCTGTATGTATCCACGACAAGTAGCGCCCCCTATGGGTGACTCATCTGAAAAGTTACACATTAATTTTGCTTGCATGCACAAATTATTGAAATAATGAGCTAATAGGGGAGGGGACATGAATAATCATGGTTGGTAACATGAGCTGTTTTTTTTCTTGTTTTGATCTGAATAGGAGTGCCTGCACCCGGACCTCAACAGACACCAGGCCAAGAACCAAAAGGTGAGGATCCTTACCAAGAAGCTGGTAACAAGACTAGGGACATTTTGAAGGGAGTTTATAAAACAACAGCCAATTATGTGCAGTTGTTGACTGGGGTTGATAATGGCCAAATGCACATAGCTGGAAAGTACAGTTAGAAACACGGGAAGGGGTGGCAGTGACTGGCCAGAAAGGAGAAATTGGAAACTCAACAGAGTATGCCAAAATGGGGACCTCATCAAATGCCTCATTTTCTTTGGCATGGGAGGTGTTGCATACTGGACCAGGACCAGTCTAATGTGGCTTTTGCGAACCCGTGATTCTTGGGTTTGCATTCATGAGCACCCTGAGATAATGGCTTCTCAATCAGTTAACGACCATAGATATGTTCGCACATATAGCGAAAGTGCATGGTTTGTCCTAGAACATACCATGGAGCCTTTTTTATAGCTCCATGATCATACAGTCAGGCTATCCCCAATGTATGTGCGTCGTTGTCCAGAGCCACCTGCCTCCCATCAGAATTTGAGTGACAAGTGACGAACCAGTTAAGTGCTGGAGAGCTACCTACATCTAAGAAAGCCACTTTAGTCTGGGCTCGGTCCAGTAATGGGGAAGTCAACCAATTTTGATAAGATTGCATATGACTGGGCCAATGAGGCTAGCATAATCCTGAAGAGGTTCAAGCTTATCTTTCTTTTAAAGATGTGTGCCCTGTCGCAAGAATCCAACCTTGTTGATTCCACTTTCGATTAAATTCTTGGCGAAAAGTCAGGAATAGAAAAAGACGAACTTGATAAATTCATCCTAGCCAACCAAAATGAGGTCTTGATTCTCTTGGATGGTTTTGATGAGGTGAAG